CATTACCTCCATTTTCTCAACCACCCCTCAAGCCTGTTAAGTGTGTATGACTTCTTACATTTGCTGTCCTTTCTCTGGTTCATGGGGCAGGAGGCAGGGCTGCTTCTACAGGTGCTGGGCAGTGTGTGTCATTCCCTGACTCTCCAAGATGGACCAGGTTTCTGAGGCATTGGAGCTTATGCCTCACCTACAACGCAGTTGGGGAATCCCACTCTGTAATCATGAAAGTTCATGGTATATAGATAGAATTTCTTCCTAGTGTACTGAAAACTCAAGGAGAACAAAGTTATCTGACGTTTATGGAGTACAGGGAGCTGTTCTCAGAAATTTCCATGGATTAAGTAGCTTAATCCCTGGAGTATCACTATGAAGCCGGCATGGTTACTCGCATAGTCCAGTGAGGGCATGCAAAAGGTAAGTCCCATGCAGGCAGACAGCAGCAGGGCCAGGATCTAACCCAGGCTCTCAAGCTTAGCGCTGTATTAACCAAGGGAAAGAGCTCAGTGAGCCAGAGCAACCAGTGCTCACTCAGTTCTTGTGTGAGGAAGCTGGGGAGGTTTTGCTCAGTCTGTGTCACATGCAAGTGTCAGAACTGAGAAAGTCTGCTCCTGGTGCTCTCTGGGAGGCCCCTGTCTGTGCTGGAGGATTCTGTGACTGCCTCAGAACACCCACTTCAACAATGGCACCAAGGAATAGCTTCCAAACATGTGCCTTTCTCAAGATCCAGGAGCGGGCAGGACTGAGCAGGTTACCTATGGTCACAGGAAAGGTTCAGAGGAGAGGGCAAGTGGCATGCATGAGGCTGTTGGTTGAATGCAGTGTCTGTCAAGCTTTCTGCACCTATCCTGCACATAGGGCCACAGACTGGCAGGTCTAGTTAGGGAGGCAGTCCAGTGCTTGTTAATCTCTCTAGCTCTGAAAACACTGGTGGGCAGACTGGAGGTTGAAGACCACTGGTTTAATGAATAAAGGCTGACATCTATGCTGGGTAGACCTCCCCCCCCAATCATACACATAATTTCCTTTTTTTTTGGGGGGGGAGGCACACTCAGCATTGTTCAGGGTTTACTCCCATCTCTGTGCTCGGGGGCCACTCAGGGAGAATGGGATTTGGGGGACCATGTATTGGTGCTGCGGATTGAACCTGGGTTGGCTGCGTGCAAGACAAGTGCCCTATCTACCATACAATCCTCTGGTTCCTTTTATATTCTTCCAAATGTCAAAAAGAAAATCGAGATTCTGGCATTCTGTCAGAGCTGTGAATGAGCCAAGCTTCCAGCTGCTTCTGATCAGTGGAAGTGCCAACTCTAGGTTGTCTAAAGAGCTTTCTTTCATGACGGCAGCACTACAGAGCCAGTGACACAAGATTCTGAGAAAAGACCCCACCTTAATGAGAGTCCAAACGAGTATGTGGGCAGAAGGGATGAGCACCATTCAGGACAGATGCCCACTGCATCCCTGTAGCCTCTATTGAAACTTCCTCAAGGGTGTACCCCTGGCCTTTCTTATAAACGAACTTTAACATCTGTTAGCCAGAACCTGAAACCCTGTAAGAATATAAAATGATGTGATATATAAAAATATATATAGTAGAAGACTATATATATATATAGTCTTCTGCCCCCGCGCCTTGCTGTCCTCGCCGGGGCCCCTAAGAGGGGAGTGGGTTGAGTTTCCCTCCCCGCCCTGACCAGGGCTCTGGCAGCCGAAGACCTCCAGAACCAGCCACCACCATGCTGAGACCACTCTCCACACACATAAAGGTACTGGCAAAGGAACAAAGGTATGTGGGTCCCGGGTCTGAGATCTCCAAGCCTGCTCGGATTGGGCCTGAGCATCCTCCAGCCAGATCCTCCAAATTCCAGTAGGCAGGAGTCACACCCACCAACTGGCCCCCTGGCGCCGTGTAATCCCATCAACGGCCAAGACCCAGAGACTATAAAACCCAGCTCCTGGAAGCGACATCTTATTATCTCATTCTTACTTTGGACACACTGGCAGGCTACCGAATGTAACCTTCCCACAGGGCAGAGTCTGGCAAACTCCCCGTGGCATACCCAATATGCCAAATACCAGTAACAATGATGGCTCTCATTCTCCTAACCCTGAAAGAGCCTTGAATATGGCACTTAAAAAAAAAATCTCAGGGCTAGGATGAAGGAGACGTTACTGGAGCCTGCTCGAATAATTGACGAACAACAGGATGGTCGTGATCGTGATAGTAGAAGATTAATATCCATGGCCAGGGATAGGAGGGGTTAGGACTGGTGAATGGTTGGAACTAAGCACAAGTGTGTGGGGGGCTGAGGATAGGTAAGATAGAGAAGAGACCACTATGACAGTAAGTGCTGGGAATGATCACACTGGACAAGATATGAAAGTTAAAAGTAGGTAAAGGTATATTCTTGGTAGCCTTGCAGTATCAATATTACAAACAACAATGCAACTGTTGAGAGAGGGAGAGAGAGAAAAGGAGAGAGAGAGAGAGAGAGAGAGAGAAAGAGAGAGAGAGAGAGAGAGACCTCTGCCACAGAGGCAGGCAGACGACGGAGAGTGGGGGTGATGGGAGGGAACCTGATGCTGCAAAATGTACACTGGTGGGGAATTGGGTGTTGGAAAACTGTATGACTAAAATCCAATCATGAATAGCTTTGTAAGGGTTTATCTCATAGTGATTCAATAAAAGTTTTAAAAAATAAAAAACTACAAAAAGAAAAAAAGAATATATAGTGAAATATTTTATTCAAGAGTAAGAATCATCAAACAAAAACATCAAAAGTCATTTCACGTTTTATTAAGAAACCAAGCAATGAAAGCTCAAAGACACAGAGATATTAGCTATAGATGCCATGTTTTTTTAAAAAAATTAATTTTCATTAGTGAAACACCATGAGGTACAGTTGTAGACTTACAAATTTTTGTGCTTGAGTTTCAATTATACAATGATCAAATACCCATCCCTCCACCAGTGCCCATTTTCCACCACCATGGATCCCAGTATCCCCCCACCCCCATCCCCCCCATCCCACCCTGCCTCTGTGGCAGGGCATTCCCTTTTGTTTTCTCTCTCCTTTTGGGTATTGTGGTCTGCAAAAGAGGCATTGCGTGAGATGCCATGTTTTAACTTTTATGACAAAGTGAACTAGTGACCACTAAGAACATGTTTCCTCTAGAAAGATTGCATTCATCTGGGGAACATAAAGTAACAAAATAGGAGACTAACACCCAAGAATAGCCGAGACATGTACCAGGAGGTTTACTCCATGGCTTGGAGGCCAGCCACACATGCTGGGAGAAAAGGCAGTTCAGATAGAGAAGGGAGCACCAAATAAAGGGTGTTGGGAGGATCCTCCCAGGATGGGAGATACATGCTGAAAGTAGACTATAGACCGAACATAGTTGCCACTCAATGCCTCTTTTGCAAACCACAGTACCCAAAAGGAGAGAGATAACAAAAGAGAATGCCCTGCCACAGAGGCAAAGTGGGATGCGGAGGATGGGGGATGGGAGGGATACCTAGATCAGTGGTGTTGGAGAATGGGCACTGGTGAGGGATGGGTTCTCAATCACTGTATAACTGAAACCCAAGCACAAAAATTTGTAAGTCTACAACTGTATCTCATGGTGTTTCACTAATAAAAATTTAAAAAATAAAAAGAAAAAGAACATGTTCCCTCAAGGGAAGGAAGTTCCAGGGTTTCTCATTGGGTCCCTTCAAGTTCATTGGGATTCACAGGGTTCCTGCAAGTTCATCTCAGTCCTCAGGTCCCCTGAAAACATTTTTGGTTTAACTATTTCTGAAGAAAAGCAAACTTAAGGAATATTCTGTACTAGAAGTTTTTTTTTTTTTTTGTGCCCGTTGTCTCATTTTTGGGAAACTGATCCTTGGCCAATGAGAAACCATGTCCATTTCACTGTTTCCCAGCTTCTGCTAGGTAGTACATGCTGAGCAACCAACATCAGAGGGAAAAAATACAACTTAAGGGCAAAAAGAAGAAAAACCAAGCATGAGCCCTTAAACATGATTTCAAACTAAACAATAACAGTGAAACATCTCACCCAAACTCATTCTAGTTAGAGAAGGTCCTCTAGGCCAAAAGGCTTTTGGAAACAGTGATACAATAAACAACCCATGTTGGTGTAGGCTGATTGACAGAAGCAAGAATTAAGTTGGTCTGGCAAATTTCTGCTACCAAAACATCACCAAAGTTCTAAATGAAGATCTAGAGCACTGTCACAGTAAACCATCATTTGTGTTCACCTGTTGTTCATTCTCCATCCAGCTTATTCCACAGAACCCCTCTGGCTTCTTAGGGCACACACAGGTCCCGAGCCCAGAGAGGACACCTGTCATCCTGAGGCCGACTCACACACACACACATTAGCACTGGAACTGAGCCAGGCTGTGAGCTGACGGTGCATGTTGGACCTTCACTTAAGTGAAGAACTGGGGGCGGGCAGAGGAGGCAGCCCTCACACACAGTCTAGCCCTAGCCAGGACTATCATCAATTTCATAATGAAAAAAAAAATGATATAATTTCAGCACCTGTGATAACTTCTGATTTATCCCACTTCAAATAAGAAGTGTTGACTGTCTGATTTGAGTCTTACAGATCTCAAAATTCCAGGCTCAAATCACTACCAATAAAGAGTTGGTGTTCAAGAGATGAATGCATAATTTAAATTGCCAAGAGTTCTTTGGTGACATTTTGCTTTAAAAACTGCCTTGGGTACTGTAAAAGTAACCAAAAAAACCCAGGCCAAGACAATTTGGAAATATTTTATGTAACCTTCTTCTAAAAGCCATTCTCTCCCTTTTTCTACTCTGAAGAAGCCCGTGGTCTCTCTTGGCTGTACAATAGTTCTATCTCTTACTTTCTCTCTCACCTCATACCTCTCTAGGTAAATTTCTTTCAATAAAACTATTTTGTTTAAAAGAAAAAAATTCCCCTAACTGCTGGGGTGAGCCCAATATCCATAGCACTGTCAAGAGCATCACTATAAAAACTCTTAAAGGCACAAACTCTAAGAGGGCAGTGTTCCTATCAATGGAGCACAGGGGACCACCCTCTCTAGGACAGTGGGAAGTGGAGCCAGTGGTCATGTGCTGGCCTAGGGAATGGCCCTGCAGGCCAGGAGTTAACTCTTGGTCTAGGAGATCCTGGGAGGCGCACAGTGGGTGTCCTGTTCAGGCAGTATTTTAGCAATGGAAGCAGCTGTAACCAGCACAAACTGGCCAAATGTTAGTACTTTGTAGCTTGCCATAAACGTAACTTGACAAAAACCAGATCTGGTTTTCACTTTTTTATTATAAAAGAGAAATACTTCCCAGAAACATAAAAATATACACAACTAGAAACATTCTAGTTTTAAAATTATTTTATTACACCCCAATTCTTTGTCCATACACACTTCACAATCCACTCATAGTCTAACTTGCAGGCTCCCAGTTGAACAGATCAGAGATCCCAACAACCCGGAACACACCCGCAACACAGGCCCCCTCTCCACACCGGCCAGGCTCCTGGAGAAAAACTGAAATCGCTGTCAGCTCATTCTCCATAAACAGTGGATGGTCTTCTTCACCTGAAAGGAAACCCTTTGTACGTTTCATCTGAGTCTCACACGTCGTCTTCCGACTCCCATTGGACACCTGGAAGGTAGATACAGCATATTCAACGATCTGTCCGTTTCAGGGGTGCTTCTGGCGACGCCGACGAGTGGGAATGCTGAGTCAGGACTGTTTCTAAAAAGTCCACCAGGGCGCCTTTGGACATGTCTCCGGGCAGTGCCTGGACACAGCGTATGTGCTCCAGAGCGTTTCTGACCATCTGGCCTCTCTCCTGGGAGCTGTGGGGTGCGCCGATGTCGTCTCTCTCTGCTCCAGACTTTAAAAACTGCAGGACGTAGGCCTGGACCATGTCCCTGTTCAGCTCCAGGGAGTCTCTGATACAGGGCAGGTCTGAGGCACTGGCCATGCTCAGCAGGTGAATCAGCGCCTGGCAGATCTCAGTCCGCAGACTGGCACAGTATTTAAATTCCAGAAAGTCTGTGGTATCTTCACTCTTCTGCAAGGCAGTGACCAGTGCGTTCCAGATCCGGCCGTACTGGCCCACGGACCCATAGTGCTCCCTCTTGCCTGGGACAGAAAGGGCTGCAGCCGATCGGATGCGCACTTTGAAGTTTTTGCATGATGTCACGACCGAGGTGAGGGCATTGTAGGCCTGCGAGGTCCACGGGGCTGTTCCTAGAAAGAAGCAGTCAGTCATACCAATGAAGGCTCAGAAAAGCAGGGGGCAGGGGTACCATGCTCAGGTGACTCGTTGTAGGTCTCATTTTACTCATGATAGCCCAGTAAGACACATGGTGGAGAGTGAGTGGGATCCTAGGGGAGAGGCCAGATGCTGACCTCACGCCTCCCTCCTTCCTAGCCCAGCTGGCCTCAGCTCAGTGCTGCTGCGACCCTCAGCAGGGACTTTGTGGCTTAGACAGGGGCTTCTCTGGTGGCGCCTGCTCAGAGGAGACGACTGGAGGGAGGAATAAGGACTGAAGCACTGCGCCTCCTCTGTGCTGGGGTGAAGGCTTCTCAGGCGCACGCAGCTGCATGTGTGTATGCCCGGCCCTATTCATGCTGGCCAAGACTATTTCCCTCCCTGCTTATTAATTAGCACCAGGCACTGCTCTGGCAACTGCATGCCATGCCTAGACTGCAAAGCAAAGGAAGCTCTGGCCAATCCTGAAGTGACTGGGGCATGGAGAGCTCAGACTTCCTAGTCACCAGGAGATGCCCAGGTTTCTGTCTTCCTTCCCTGTCTAGGGGCCCAGGCAATCCGACTGTGTTCTGCCTCCTCAGAGCAATCATTTCTCATTCCCCACTTCTTCATTCTGCGACAAGCAGTCTCCCTCTCAAGGGGCACCACTCCCAAAGATACCTGCAAGCTCGTTCCTTACAGGAAAATGCACATGGAAAACAGCAGGGAAAGAACCAGACTCCCTAATTTGATGCGGGCTTCGCTAGTCCAGAGTGGTTCATTTCCTCCCCAGGAACACACCCATCATGTTTCACATCTTCTCCCAGTGACAAATGTACAAGGCCAACAACACTAGCGATGAAAGGGAAGAGGATTTTGGGCCCTTGTTGTGCACTTAGCTGACCTGACTTGATCCCTGTCACTACACATGGTCCCCTGAGCAATAGCAGAAGTGACCCTTGAGCAGAGAACCAGGAATAAGCCCTGAGCACCACTGGGTTTTAATTAATCAAAGTGAACAGTGATCCATAGGTTTAAGCAGTTATTAGTCACGGGGGTCCTGGCAAGGAGCACGACCTGCCGCTGACTATACTGCTGCTCTTGCCTCCCATGGACCATCCCACTGCAGTGCCATGGGTCCATACAGCATTCCAGTTTACTCCCATTTGCTCCTGGCAACTCTTTTCCTTTACTTTGCCAATTGTCAAAACTGTATGTGGTCATTAGAAAACCTTTAGAAAACGAAAGCAGAAAAAATATGTCCTGCTCACCAGGCCACAAGATAGCCCAGCAGTTAGGACTCAGGTCTCGTGTCAGTCTGATCCTGGCTCCATGTGGATCTCCGAGCACTGCCAGGTGCACGCCTGGAAACCCCCCAGCACTGGGCTAGGCATCCTGGCACCCCAGGGCCCATGCAGCAGCATGTCCTTGGTCCCTGCACTGAACTGGAGTTCCGGTCATGGTTTCCCCGGTCTCCTGAGCACCACTTCGGAGTCCCCCAACCTAATCTTAGGTGGCACTGTCCTCCCAATGTTTATCGATTTGCTCGAGCAGGCACCAGTAACATCTCACAACAAATTGTGAGTCTTGTTACTGTTTTCGGTGTACTGAATACATCACGGGTAGAGTGCCAGGCTTTGCCGTGCGGGCAAGATATTCTTGCCAGGCTCTTCGAGAGGGGTGGAGGAATTGAATCCGGGTTGGCCGCGTGCAAGGCAAATGCCCTACCCGCAGTGCTACTGCTCCAACCTAATATTACACAATCTAATCCTTAATCTTACCCAGAAGAAACTACTGTTAATACTCAAACTAGTTTCTTTCAATCTCTTAGTCTAGCTATTTATTAAGTTTGGGTGTTGGCTTTATTTCCATTCTTGCTGAATTCTGGGGTGGAGAGTACATAGGGATGCACGTGAACTGCCCACAGAAGGCCGTCTGCAGAAAGGGGAGGGACATTTCCTTACCTAAAGGGAGAGCCGGGTTTTTAAACACATTCCCCATTGCATAGCATGCGTTCCAGCGAACTTTCATGGCAGCCTCTGCCAAAACAGCAGAAATCAGGGCTTGGATAGACTCCTCAATGATCTCAGAGAACCTGGGTTTTTCTATGTGACATGGTCGCAGAAAATGAAGTAAATTTCCAAGGGCACGAACTGCATTGCTTTTCACCTAGAACAAAATACAAAAAGCATCAGGAATCTGTCTGCTGAGAGTGGTTTCAAAAGTGTCATGTCAGTGGGGACAGGGAGGCGGTCCAGAAATTGCAGCTCAGGTCCAACTGCCACACAGCACTGCCTGGCCTTTCTGGTCACTGCTGGGCCCTCAGTGAGGTGAACTGCAGCCAGGGTGGCCGTCGAGCACTGCTGGGGATGCCCTGGTGGTTCCGGGTTACCTCAGGGCCTGGGCAGCATCACATTCCCTGGCCTAAGTACTAACTGCTGGCCCAGCTGCTCAACTATCTCTGGGAATGATCACTGCAGTTTCAGAAACGCAGAGATCCCACATGTTTTACCACACATGAGCTAATGAAAAGTGCAGCTCCTTCTTAGAAACGAGGTCTTAGAGCTTTGGCAGCTGTCATGGCTCACCCCCCTTCACTAGGAGATGTGCCTTCTGACAGAGGCTTTGTTCACTTCCTAGTCAGACTGGACTTCACAGGGGCCTAGCTCCCCTGATTTATAGAGATGGCCTGAAAGGCCTGAGGGGAGTAGGAAAAATGTTGGCTTTTAGAAGGCGAGGGAGAAAAGAGGCAACAACAATTCCTAAGCTCTAACCCCAGAGACATCAACTGACTTAATTTGAAGTCCAGCTTCCCGGATTTTCAGAACCAAGGCATTCAAGTGTGTGCTTGCTAAGCGTTGGGTGCTCTTCCTCAGTCTCTGAGGAGTATGTAAAGGCTTCCATGTTATGTGACAGATGAGGAAATGGCCTTTAAATAATGTGCATGTGAGGATCTGATCCATGTCCGCCTCACCCCATGCCCAGGTTACAATGCTCACTTACACTGTGAGAGGACATTCAAAGTCAAGGATTGCTCATCATTCTTACTTTCTAGTTCTATCTAAAGAATTTATGGGAGCAAATCAGATTATATTAAAGCAAACATGGTTTATCATGAAATGGTATTTAAAAAAGCACAGAATTTTTCATGAGACAAGAAAGAAACTCACATTGTGTGGAATGGACCACTTACTAGTCTGAGTATATGCTCAGTTTCCTTAGAACAGGGAGAGATTTGGCAAGAAGTCTGAGGACTATCACACCACACCAAGCTCCCAGGCACATGAGGACTAAACTACAGTACAGGAGCAGGAGAGGTGGCTCAAAGGCTGAGTGATAGACTTTTCTTTCTTTTGCTCTTTTTCTGGTTTGGGGGTGATACCTGGCAGTGCTCAGGGATCACTCCTGGTGATGTTCGGGAACATATAATGTGCTGGGGATAGAACCTGGTTGACTGCATGTAAGACAAGAGCCCTGCCTGCTAGACTACGGCTTGGCCCATGGAAGGCATGCTTTTCATGCAGGAGCTCCATGTTTGATCCCGTGTATCACATGGTCTGCCTAGCACTGCTGAATGTGGTATCCCAGGCAAAAAGCAGAAACAAACCAAAACTGTAATACACAAGTACCTAACTCGGAAAAAGGGGGTTTTGTTGTGAGTCTACCTTGTCTTTGTCCTTGGATGCTTCTATGGCTGTCTGCAACATCTTCAAGAGCAGAAGACCAGAAAACTCTTCCTGGAAACTTGGGTCTGGTGAATCCCTGTTCCATTCAAAGCAAAGCAAAACATGTTAAAAGATAAAATTCACATGTGGATATGTATATTATATTTATGCACATTTACATAACTGAAGTTTTCAGGAAAACAGCTCAACAAATCTACTTATATTATTCCAAAGAGTTGTAATTTTTTAAAAATAACTTCAGATTATTCTTTTTGGGTCACACTTGGCGAAGCTCAGGGGTTACTCTTGGCTCTCCTGGCTCTGTAATCTGGAATCACTCCTGGCGGTGCCCAGGGGACCATATGGGATGCTAGGGATCGAACCTGGGTTGGCTGTGTGCAAGGCAAAGGCGCTACCTGCTATACTACTGCTCTGGTCCAGGAGTTATAATTTATACCTTTTAACCTGGTAGGTACACATCTAGGAATATAACCAGAAGAACTATCTCAATGGAAATTTCATAAACAAAACTATCCACTATATTTACTACAAAGCCTAAAACAACAAATGCTCAAATTTAGGGCATAGTTTAAGTAAGTGTCACATAATGATGAGTATATAATAATATATAATGATTTATAAAAAGCAATATAAGGGAATTCTTATACATAGTACATGTTAGAGGTAAGAGATATGTTGGCCCAAAAGCAGGGCGCTTGTCTAAGAATAATGAGTTGTCTCTAGGAAAGGGTCTTGGGTTAGAGTAAAAGGAAGGGGTTTTGGTGGGGAGAGGAGGGGTTACTTGCTTTTGAGGTAGATCTGGTGGTGTTCAGGGGCTACTCCTGGTTCTGTGCTCTGTGGATGCTCCTGGCAGGGCCTGAGGGACCATGTGTTGCTGAAGTCTGCTGCATGCAAGGTTAAAACCTTCATTCCTTTACTATCCCTCTGGTTCCCCCAAAAGTAAAGTTTTATCTGAGTATCCTTTTGAGGTATTTGACATTTTTTCTTTCACCTACAAATGTATTACTTAAAAATTACTTAAGCAGGGGCTGAAGAGATAGCACAGCAGGTAGGGCGTTTGCCTTGCACGTAGCCGACCTGGGTTCGATTCCGAGCATCCCATACGGTCCCCTTAGCATTGCCAGGAATAACTCATGAGTGCAGAGCCAGTAGTAAACCTTGTGCATCGCCGGGTGTGACACAAAAAAAGCCCAAAAAAAAAAAAATTACTTAAGCAAATATTCTATTTAAAAATTAGAGCAACTATATTGGTGGTGAAAAATAAGTACTGGTGAAGGGAAAGGTGCTTGATCATTGTATGACCGAGACTTAATCTTGAAAGCTTTGTAACTTTTCCCACAGTGATTCAATAAATAAATATATTTAAAAGAAAAAGAATAAATTATTATTAAATAAACTTGCTACTTTACAATTAAAAAATAAAATAAAAATTAGAGCAACTGCTACTAACTTCTGAATTTCAACTTCTATATTTATCACTTTCTACAATGTGAATATATTATTTTGATCTATCAGCATATAGTACTTTCAGACAAAGACATAAATCTTAATGTATTACATATTAGGAATAGCTTATTTACTTATTGAAGAAATATGAAATTGGAATGACTGAGTAGATAATCATACAACTGACAATATAACACACATGATGCTTACTGTATATATAATAGCATAATAAAGTAAATGTATAAGTGGCTAGTAGATATAATTATAATGATTCTATATTATATAAAACGTTTCATATTATACTGTATGACATAAAACTTAAATACTATGGCAAAATTACTAATTCTTTGATGCCGGGGAATGACAGACAGCCTTCTGGGCAGCCTCACAAGTCATCTGGGAAAGGAAGCTCAGCCACCTACATGTTGGTGATAAGAGTGTCCGTCAGGTTGCCCAGGGACCAGGCTGCTTTGGCCCGGACATTCAGTGACTTGTCTTGAAGTGACATCAATACTGCATTTGCTGTGTCGGCCACAAAGATGACATCCTACAAGATAAACAAAGCAGAACAATATAGTTCCGAGTTCATACTACTACCTGGAAAGTCTGATTTGTTTCCAGATAAAGCTATATGCCACTGGAACTTGTGACTGGAACTCAAAATTCATTTATTCAATTTGTTGCTCTCCTGCATTACCACCGAACACTTGCTAAATCCCGTGGCAGCTCTCCCAGGACCCTGTAAGTGCCATGTGCACACATGAAGCTGCAGACACCATCCTTGTATACACCTCCTTCTCTCCCTGTGGCAGATGCTTAGATCAACTTCCACCTCAGCAAACAATGTGCTGACAACAAAAAGTGCTTCCAAACCACACCTGACGCAAGACTCTACGTTCTTCTTGGTGAAAAGTACCCCAGGTACGAGTGGAGGGAAGAGGTCACAGAAGTGGCTCAGTGGCTGAGTGCACACCCTGAATGGGTGTGACCATAAGGTTTAGCCCTTGCCATTGAATTAAAAAAAAAAAAAACTGAAGTGTGAAAGAACACTTCCTTCTTTGTTTTCTAAATTACCTCTGTCACAGGCTGATGGCCTGTGTAAGATTTTTGCAAGCATTTATTAATTTAAGCATTAACTGGGCATTTGTAGACCTGGGTGGTATAAATAACTAGAAATAAATGAATTGTAAGCATTACTATATTTTAGTAGCAATTCAAGAAACCAGATCACAAAACAATTTTCTTTACTGCCCAACTTAAGAGTTCTCTCTGTATCCACACACTCACACCACCTACCCCCACACCTCCCCACACACATCCCACCCATCCCTACCCACCCACTCCCAAAAACATCCCCCCACTCATACACCCCCCCTTCACCCACATCCCGACTCCCTGTCCCCCAGCCCCTAGCACGCTACAGATAAGTAAAGGAGACAGGAGTTTAGCAGTCTCCATCTGACCTGTCGCAGGCAGGGGAAAAGCACGTAGACACCAAGGGCCCGAGAGGTCGCTGCTTTTACTAGCCGGTTCTTGCTATCATTCAGCCCCAGCAGCATGGTGAGACACAGGATCTGCCTGTCATTCTGTGTGAGGAAAGGGGGTAGAGGAAAGGCAAAGAGAACAAACTGAGTCAAGGCTCTGGCAAGTGCCGGTGACTGGCCTGTGCTCTGGTCCATATTAAAGAGCTGGAGATAACGGAATCCTGCCTGGGGATGGGCTACCTTGGTTACAAGTAGTGAGTTACAGCTGAGTATGCACATGGCACACACATCTGTGATTAAACTTAACTTCCCTCCGGGAGGATCACCCATCCTTTCCTCGCAGGTTACTCTCCAATACAGTGCCCTTCGCTGTGAAAGCTAAGCTCAGATGTAAACTAAAGGGAAGGAGCGGACTGGGTACCATCAGGACTAGGACTTGCATACTTCATGTCAGTACTCCCCTCACTTCCCTAAAGTAACTTTATGATATAACTAATTTTGCAGAAGCTCAGGTAATCAAAGTGCCAGAGATCTGGGACGAACTCGAAAGCGCCTGCTACCCCAACTTCTCCTGTCTCTAGGGCACAGGGAGGAGCTGCTATCCTGAGACCAGAACACTTTCAGTTTTCCCATTGTGCTGGTTCCTTGCCCTACGCTTAACTAGAAAAAGCATTTTTTCCTCACAGATGAAGCTGAATACTGGCTCCAAAAGAACCCAAATCAAACTCAAACTCTGATGACTCATTTAAGGACGAGAAAACACCCTTGGCAGATTGGTTACCGGCAGGCTGCTGAAGGCTTCTGGCAAGATGGAGGACAGGGCGTCACAGGCGCTTGCCTGTAGAGTGGGGTGTTCGGAATTCTGCAGGGCTCTGGGCAAAGGACTGTTCAGCATCATAGTCCAGAAGGCTACGACCTGGAACAGAGACACATCTCAACCTGAAGCCCACCACACACCAGGGAGCCAACCTGAGGCTTGCCTACTACAAGGAGCCAGGATCCAAAAACCCCCACCTCAAGCAGGAGAAGCTTTGTGCAAATTCTTCCACTGTTTCTTCAAAGATGGAAAAAAAAAATTAGAAAATGGCTCATTCAATCCTTCCCATTTACTGGTTAAGAAAATAGTCTGCTAGAGGAGCAACAGTGATCCAAATAATAAGGAGGTGCGTAAAGGGGATGGCTTAATGGTAGTGAAACCATAGCAGTGGCAGTGACTGCTTTCCAGATACACAAGGGTGTATTCTGAATGTTTTTCACCTATCACACATTCAAATTCCCAGAACAACAGAATGAAGTATGTAACGTTCTCTTCACTGTCACACAGGGCAACAGAGGCATAAAAAGATAATATAATTTGCTAATGGCTACGGAGCTGGAGTAGAACCTCAATTAACTGGTATCTCATTAGGGCTTTTTCTACTTAATCCCTGTAGGAAAGGGGTAAAGGTCTTAGAGCAATCCAGAGACCTTATGCTTGAGTCCAAAGAGCACCGGAGCCGGAGGTATATCTGGGGCTATGCCCTTCAGTTGTGCTTTCGGACTTTGCAACCTCAGGGAACTCACAGGTCTTGGCTAAGCCTTGATCCCCCTTCAATGGAACAGGCAAAGACATCTACCTGGCAGAGTCTGTGTGACAATACAAGGTAAAACACCTAGTGCAGTGCCTAGTGGAGACTTCAATGGAGGAGCCGGCTGTTTGAAGCACTTAAATTATGATCTCACCTCAGTATTCCTTTACACAGGCAATACAGGTATTTCTGAAACCAGTTCTTTCCCATGCCTATCAAACCCCAGGAGTTCACATTCATGTGGAAATACGTCTGTATTTTTTGGTGTCTCTACTAGAAGGTGGAGACACCAACCCTCCTACCCCATCCCCCAAAAGTTATTTCTCTTTACAAAGAGGAAAGCCTGTTTATCATCAATTACTCATTAAGAGGTATTTCCAGAATCGCTCCTGTGCCTTCTGATTCTAAATCCATGGCTCCTCCCGCCATTGTAGTCTGTTCCACAGGTAGGTTTGAGTTTCAGGCAAAAGAATTTCTGCCTAAAATTTCCAGTTGGCTCTATGTTACACATAATCCTCCACAGACTAAATAAATTCAAATGCAAAAAATACCTAAGCATGCTAGTATCTTCCTGGATTATGAGCCCCAAGTTTTGATACTGGAAGTAATACTCCACTATGAACTCTACTAGATCACTCACCAAGCCTCTAGAGAAAAACTGACTGGGGTGATGTGAAAAGAGACAGCCCTGAGGTGACGTTTGCTTACCAAGGGGACTGGTACACGCTGAGCAGGTGCTGTGGGAGAATCTGATTTATACTGTTGTATTAAGCCTGTACCCAACTCTTCCAGAAGCTGCCAGGAGAAAAGAAACAGGTCAAAGCAGAGTATTTGGTCTACTGGAGGCAACAACCACTTTAGTCTGTTAACACTCATATCCACTGGAATCAAGTGGCAAGATCATTTCCAACCAATTTTCTTCCTTTTCGCATTATATCCTGTGTCAGAAGCATTATTTTTAATGAGCAAACTGACCAGCTAGATGTTGCCAATTTATTACCAGAGCAATTCTTTAAGTTTATATGCAGAGCTGAAAATAATAAATTATGACTTTCCTAACTGAAATCTCTTATACTAACAGGCATGCAGCAGAGGAAAGACTATAAAGTGAAGAGAAGAAAAAGTATGTGGCTTTTAATGGAAATTACCTTTGTTCCATGAAGCTGAATAGAGGAATCTGCCTCCCCCATACACTTGCAGATCATCTCTCCAAGTTCCATCAAATAGACCTGGGTTATGAAAAAGTAGCCCCTTGCCAGATGAGCCAAAACCTGCAAACAGAACAAAATATGAGCATCCGCACCTGAATGTTAGTCTGTAACATTCAAAAGTGCTAAAGCACCCCCCTCCCAAAAAAACCCTCAGGAATCAGACTCAATAAGGTGCTAAAATTTGCTGTAGAAAATGAAAAATGAGGTTAATTTTTATTTTATAAATGAAAAATTCTTTCATATAATTTTATGTCTTTTCATAATTTATAAAATATGTATCTTTAATAGGGCTGAAGTGATAGCGCAGTGGGAAGGGCGTCTGCCTTGCAAACGGCCGACCTGGGTTCGATTCCTCAGTCCCTCTTGGAGAGTCCGGCAAGCTACTGAGAGTATCCCGCTCGCATGGCAGAGCCTGGCAAGCTCCCCGTGACGTATCTGATATGCCAAAAACAGTAACAACAAGTCTCACAATGGAAATGTTACTGGTGACCACTTGAGCAAATTGATGAACAATGGGAGGACAGTGCTACAGGACAGTATCTTTAATAATATCTCATTTAAGATAAATTTTGAGGTAGGAATTAATCGAATACTTAACTTATTTGTGGTTTTGGAGCCACATCCTGTTAAGAGTGCTAAGGGTTTATTTGCAGTGATATCCAGTGGAACATGTGGTCACAGGGATTGGACCTGGGTTCCTGCATTTATTTAATATTTTAACACAAGAAACTCAGTGAAAAAGCTAAAGGACACATTTAATGTTAACCAGCTAATTTAATGAGCAGAAGACCTCAGAACCAAACCTTTGTCTTAGATCCCAGCTGAGTATAGAAAATGCAAAATATCTTTATCTAGAATTGTTTTTTTCCTGTAAAGAACTAATTAATTTGTTGTTTCTCAGCAGACCTAAGACTGAAGAGGATTTTGCAGAGAACTAAACATTTCAGATACAGAAATCAAAGATCAACTGTGCAATTTCTTTCAGGAGAACTATGTAATTACTTATACCCCTCACTGAATAGCTGGGGTAACTAAAATGGCTTGCAGCAAAGAAGGGAATGAATCAGACACTTTATACCAAGGCCCCTCCCCACATTGGGGGAAAAAAAAAGCATCAACTACAAACAAACCACTAACACCGAAAATGTAACTTCCAGTAACGCTGACATATGGCTTTGTTTTCCGTTCTTCTTCACAGACTGACTCCTCAGGACCAGTGAGCGAAAGGACAATTGCTTCCATTTGAGAAGCAAGGACTCGAATCTTCCTACCTGTAAGGCCTCCAGTCGCACAGGGCACGGCTTATAGATGCTTCCCGTGGCAGAGGCAGCATCGGTCCCGGAGCACGAGTCTTCCTTGGGCAGCGCAACAGTGGAAATGCAGAGTCGGATCAGCCAGCAGGGCTCGGCACAGTCCTGGGGGGAGCCCACTGATGGGTCGTCCCGCACAGATCCCGACGGGGATTTCTTCCACCAGTCGGGAGTCGCTGAACTGCTATTGAGCCCAGAAGAGTAGGGCTGCTGTAACAGCAGCTGGACTTCAGGTAAAGGTGCATTGGTGGAAACGATGGCTCCCAAGAGTGTGAGGCTGGACACACGAACGTTAACATCTGCCAAAGACAACAGTCAAGTCCATCACCATAGGCACGGCCCCCCGACAGACCAGAATTATCCCCACACCAGCTAAGCTGCCTTACTTAGGCCAAGTTAAACCTCCAGACTGGTGTTTGCCTATGCTGATGTGGTGACAGTAGGGAAGGAAGTTAGGAAAGAAATTGCAGGTACATTTTTGGGGCACTTTTTGTGTGTTTACTTAAAGTGGGTTGATTTCTAAGGAGGACTGAGTGACTTTTTTCATTTCGGAGTCCCTGCATGCAGAGTAAGAACATGAGCCCTTTGAGCTATCTCCCTGGCCGCTCCCAAACTGAACACTTTGAGAGAAGGTTCACTCCCTTCCGCTCACAGATGAAAAGCTGATGCAGCAGGTGGGGATGCGGGCAGGAGACTGCCCATGGAGCTGGGATGCTCTAATCTGACCTCTGGCACGGACATGTGATGAGAAGACTGATTTTCTGGGTCCCATCTTATACAATGGAAAGAAGTGAATTGGACTTAGCTTATACACCATTATCTTATTGAAGCCCTATAAAACATAGCATGAGGCAGATGTAATTCTTCTCACTGGTAATAAATGAGAGCTCAGAGAGGAGCATGCATTTTGACGGCAGACCCCGGAGTTCACTCAGGGTTCAACACTGAATCCACAATGTAAAAAAAACAGGTCATGCTCCTCCCAGTTCTATGATTTAAATGTGACAACAACTTAGTAGAAAGTGGTCTGGGGCTAATGCTTGCAAACAGAAAAACGACAACACTCCAAATGTCCTAAAGGTAAAAGTTTGAAGCATATGCTTTCTGTGTTGAAATAAACCAGGAAGTAACTAGAAATAAAGACCTTGCAGCTAGTGGAGATCTGAGGTTTCAAATGTTCATCCAAACTTTTGAGGATAGAATGTTAAAGGAGTTAGGTTTTATTTTTTTAATTTTATTTATTTATTTATTTATTTATTAGTTAATTTATTTTTTCCTTTTGGGTCATACCCGATGATGCACAGGAGTTACTCCTGGCTCTACACTCAGGAATCACTCATGGCAGTGCTCTGGGGACCATATGAGATGCTGGGAATTGAACCCAGGTCGGCCATGTGCAAGGCAAACACACTACCCGCTGTGCTATTGCTCCAGCCCCCTAAATGAGTTAGGTTTTAGAGCCCAGATTTTCTTTCCAAAAGGAGAACACTGTCTGTCTGCCTGCCTATCTATTCTCTACATAAGTCAAAGGGAAGGGAACTTTTGTCTGCCACATACTCAATCCTAAATCCAACGGGATGTTCCGGTGGCTGCAATGAAGGAGTAAACCCACAATAAGCTTTACAAATGAATTCTTCAGCTCACTTCCTTCCAGGAGCCTACTATGGTTCAGGAATCAAAAAATGGGGCTCTAGAAATAATTGTCCCCCTCAAAAGCTTGAGAATAAACAGAGTTATTAAAATACTCACAGTCGACCCATCAAGGCTCTAGAGGCAAAAAGCAGTCAGTTTTAAACTTCCACCAACCTTTATGGTGAATATAAGGCTTTATCTGGTTCCAGACTTTGGTCAGCAGGCTGAGTTTCAGACGGTTGTATGGTGAATTTGATACTAAATTTGCAAGGCACTGTAAAGGACAAGGAATAGCTTATCAAACAGGCTAGATTAAGTCACACATAGAGATAAGATTAATAGCATTTAATTGCAGAAGAAAAATATTTACACTTAAAGGAATATCTTTAGTGAACCATTACAATATACAGAGATTGTAGCTAAGATCAGACAAGCAAGTACAGACTTCCAAATATGATATCTTTACATAAAATTCACTGCTGAATTATATCCATAAGTCAAGTTACTTCAGGTAATATTATAAAATTCAAACCAAGTAACTTCCTGTGGGACCTACTGACAACTCAGCATCTTTACCTTAATTATCTGAATAAGAGTCTGTGAGGACGATTTAGCCACTAAAGCCAGCAAAAGACACCGATGCAGCTCTCGAATGCTGGAAGCGACAGTTACAGAGAAGGGAGTAAAAGCCCTTCTGTGGTCACTGGTATCTTCAGCCACAGAAAGAAACTGCTTTGAGCCTTCCAAGATGGCAGATAAAACTTGCAGGGCACAGGCACGGGTCTAGAATATCAGGAGGTTTCACATCAGTTAGTTAAGAATCAGAAGTTGGAGCCCCTTCTTCCTAATTATATTTAAAATTTAAGTATTTAGGATCACTTTATTTAGAAGAATAAAGGCAACGGAATTATCTATAGGTCTCTAAGTGAAGCCATGAACTTGCACCACACACTTAAGGAAAAACACACATCTTAAATCACATGTTTTGGCTTTTCTTTCAGTAAAGAGAATAAGACTAAGATATATGTTAGTATCAAATACTGAAGTCAGGACCAGGAGACCAGGAGAATAACTTGAAGATTAGGAACACCATTCTTCCCAATATGGCATAACTGAAAGAAAGAAACAGAGAACTCACGAACTAGAAAGAAAAAAAAATCACACTTCTAGATTCTGTTTTGTATCAAAGTTCCAAAAGACACTCTGTTTCCGGTCCACGCTGAGGTGCCTAGGAGCATCCATGTGAACTACACAGGACAATGGGAAATCTATACAGTTCAAAGTGACAGTTGCTATTAGCGACCTGGCTTCTCACACACATTCTCAGGTGTGGGAAATACCACTGTCTGCAGTGAGAGTCTGAGAATCAGAGAATATCACTGAATAACCTTTTCCCCTGCCTGGTGAATGGAAGGGATAAAGCATGCCTTTGAACACAAATACTTGGAAAACACGAAGGCAAGTATTTGTCAAAATTTACATCAAGACTCTCATCAAAAGTTAAAAGCTTACATTCAGTTGGTAATCTGTCGATTTAGGGAATTAATTAGAAAAGAGGTGCTGGGTTCCTGGCCCCTCGTGGCTCCCCAGTATTACTGGGATAACTAGTGGCTCCAAGCACCTCCAAAGCCCTCGTGGTCCCCAGCACTGAGTAGCACTCCATTCTCAGGCCCTAACATTTACCTGCCTAGCCCAGTTGGCCTGAGTATCACTAGGAGTGGTCTCTAGAGACTCCCAATCACCTCTAGGCCCAGCACTGCAGAGCTGGGCCCAAGCACTCAATTGTCAGGCCTACCCGACTGGGCTGAGCATTGCCTAGAGTAGTCCCAAGTCCCAGAGCATGGTTTAGTGTGGTTCCAATGAAAATAAAACATAACAACAAAAACGAAGATGTAGAAATAAATGAACTGATATTTTAAAGAAAAAATTTCAGCTCAAATAGAACTTTAGTACCATAAAAGAGAAAAAGCATCTGTGACTATCATAAATGAAGAGAAAAAGCATCTGTGACTATCATAAATGAAAACAGAGGGAACGTTATTAGAAGGAATGTTATTAAAATGTTATTGGATGTTTTTCCCTAGTGAGGTAAAAACATCTCTAGAGAAATTTGATATAAATTCTACTTTGCAGAGTTCTGATTTAACTTCTTTGAAGTCCTGTTTAACGTATCTTTGTTATTCAAAAAATGTTACTCCAGGTATTAAATCTAGTTCAAGTTCTGCTTTTTTAATTATTATGTCAAAATTTAATGTATTATTTATCAGTTCTAATCAGCACCTTCAGCAGAAATTACCCAAGTATAATCACATCATCAGGAGCTGCCCTCCAGAGAGCTCATTCTGTTAAGTTTTTATTGTCTGGTATTTACAGCAATGAATGAAGATTTTTAGTCTTACAGACATCTATATACAGAATCTCAACAGTAGTTACTTTCAGCTCCTTAGTCAAGAAGACTTACGAAAGGGTCATGAAAGAAGAAAGTACTCTTCCCTACTTACAAGTGAGGCAGTTCCAGTCAATCTCCCTCTCCCACCCCCTCTAATCTTTTAATCTGTATGTGATCTCAGAACATGTCTGGAGGGAGGATGGAGAAGTCACTGCTAGAAATGAGTATACATTATTGCATTATTATATATTGTCCTCTTTGGCTTTGGTCTGGGATCTAAGGTCAATTTCATTTGACAGCACTCATAAAGTTGCCCTATAGGTGAAGGCATAAAAACATGTGTCAGGGTCCCTAGGGTTGGAGATATCAAAGCCAGGGGTCATTTGATCTTGGTTTGCCACTTAGAAGAAAAACTATTCCATGGAGATTAAAATGTCTCACTCTTTATTACCTACATTTTGATTTGCTTCTTTATTTCACAGTATTCCAAAGGCAAAATAATCATTATGGATTCTGAGAATTGGGATAATTCTCAAGGTACCAAGAGAAAGTTTTTCCTAAGAGTTTGTTCCTAAAAATGATGATTTTAAATCTGGGTTTAGGAATTCCTTTGGAATTGATCCAGGCTTGTCAGTGCCTGTGAAAAGCATATAGAAAATCTCAAATTTTTCTCCTTTACAAATGAAGCATTCTAGCAGTCCACATTACTTTCCTAAATGTAATCCATGTATTTTTGGTTTGGTTTTTCTGTGTGTGTGAAGCAAGGGAGGTTTTATTGAAACTTATTTAGAAAGATGTGAGGGGAGAGAGGAAGAATTATGTTCAAGAGTGAAGTTCTAGAGTGGACACAGGCTTCTTTAGAGAGGAAATAGGCAAGCAAAGAAAGATTGAGACAAGCAAGTGAGATATGTATCCAAGGGAGAACAGGGTTTGAAGAGCAAGCCTATTTTTGGTATTCTGAGTGGAAAAGTGTAATCACTTTTTCCTTTAGCCCATTTCTCTTTGAAAAATGTCTTAGTATGTCTTTAAAAAACACACTTCCAGTTGACTCTACCATAAGCTATTAACTCAAAACTGCCACAAATGCGAAACTATCATTATTATGCACTTTAGCAGCAAGATGCACTATTGCTGCCTTGTGTATCATCCTGGCTGAAAGAAACTTAAGTCATCCTCCTCTACACTCCCAATGAGCACCAGAGAAGATGTGTACTCAGCCATTATACACATTGCACCTTTAATCTAGTGCTATCAGTCCAGAATGCTGCTCTATTCTTTAATAAATGAAATGAACAAGCACTTTAATTTTTGCACATAACTTTCTAGAAACCCCTACAAATATATTTTCTCACTGACATCATTACTTGGCATACAATTTCACTACAGATCATTGTATAAGTATGCTCCCAGCCTTGTTCTGAACCATGATCACATGTATTTACATTCTTCTAAATAATATATTAGAAATCTACTTAATACAAATATTTCATGCCATTACATTGAACTGTGGATTTTATTGCTTTTTAAAAATCTTAAAAATTCCAGTGATTTTTCATTTCTTGAAGAGCTTTTTCATATGGTATTTATCCTGGACTAAGGATATCTTCAGAGAAGTTTTCTGGGGGTTTCGGGGGGTGAGGTGAGGAGTTCACCTGGCAGTGCTCAGGGCTTACTCCTGATAGTATGTCAGGAATTATTCCTGGCAGAGCTCAGGAGACCATATGCGATACCAGGGACTGAACCCAAGTTGGCTGCATGCAAGGCAAGTGCCCTACCCACTGTACTATGTTCAGGACCCTTCAGAGAAACTTCATTATCTTTTCTTTTTCATTCTATTTCTTGCATTTACATAAGTCAAAGAGCAAAAACATATTTGAAAGGTACCCAAATCAAATAGGACCACTTTGCAGTGTGTAAAATTTCTACACCAAATAAATGTAAACACTGTGAAAATTATTTTAATTTTCTTTCCTCAGTACTACCCCTCAAGAGTCTCACTGTATTCATATCCTAAGTTGCATGTCTTATATTCCCTTAGCTGGGCAGAGGCCAAATGGGTGGTTTACTTGACCTGAAACTTGCTTCTGGCATCTCCCCGGCTAGTGCCAAGAGCTCTCCTTTACTTGAGGGTCTTCAAATACAAAAATATTTTTCACCTTTATATTAGCTCTTCTTTCAGTTAATAGAATGCTTGCTTCTTTTTTGATTTACTTACCACCGCCATTCATTTCCCATTTTTCTCTCAGGTTCTCTTGTTCCAGCCATTCAATTAATTTGAAATTTTTTCCTGGCTTATCTACTTGGGGTGTTGGGTATTTGAAATATTCTACAGCATTTTTGAATTCAACAATGCTTCTCAAAGGTGATACAAAAGTTTTCATTGAATTGCTAGTAATGAGCAATTCAATGAGATGATCATAGGAAGTTCTGAAGTTTTGTGGAGTGCTTGTCCCCTTCCTTTGTCAAAGAGAAAATCTTAAAAATCAAAAACGAAATCATACTATTGGCCTAGTTAAGACTTTTCACTTGGAGGGGGTAGTTGGTTACCTAAGAACACACAGAAGTTAACTGGCCTGCTTTTAATGATCATGACTGAAAGGAAGTCTAAAATCACCATGCTGTGTTCCTTACTGGGTTAAGGGGCTACTCCTGGAGAAGAGCAATATATCCAAGAGGAGGGAAATATCTGATCAACCATAGCTCTCTTTCTGTAGCTACTGAGGACTATTACATTCTTTTTTTCTTATTTATTTACCTCCTAAGAGGTACTTAGGAGGTAATCAGGGCCCTTCCCAAAGATTCTTAGCCAACTGAGCTGGTATGACAGTTCAATGTAAGAGACTGAAGATGTCAAGATGTGGTACTATTTGGACGCTGTGATGCTATTTGGATCCCTTGGGGACCCCTAGAGCCACACTCCATGGTGCTGGTCTCTTTCAGGGTTGTACCTGGTGATGCTGGGGAAAATGTGATGACGGGACCAAACTGAGGTCAGAGGGATGCAAGGAGTGCATCTTAATCCAATACTGTCTGTCTAGCCCCCCCCCCCCTTTTTTTTGCTTTTTTTGGGTCCCACCTGGTGATGCACAGGGGTTACTCCTGGCTCTATACTCAGAAGTTACTCCTGGCAGTGCTCAGGGGACCATATGGGATGCTGGGACCCGAACCCAGGTCGGCCGTGTGCAAGGCAAACGCCCCACCTGCTATGCTATCTCTCCAGCCCTCTAGTCCCTTTCATCCTATTTTAAAAATAAGCTTTTTTTTCATTAAACTACATAAACATTTATTAAATGCTGGTTAAAAACCATGGAAAGTTGAAAGAATAAAACATTACTAGGGTCATATAATTCTATACCCTGTACTTTCATCAAACATCAGAAGCATTTTTCTAAACCTTACAGATCCTTTGTAAACACTATATACATTCTGTTTTTTCTAAGCCATCTTTTAGATTTTTCTAATTAAAAATATCAAAGCAATTTCTTTCAAGGGAGTGAAGCATGATGCTCATATGCAGGTCATGTACATAAGTTCATTTCTGTCTGCCCCAGTGGGTCCATATAAGAGAAGATTGAGGATAGAGAAAACAGCAAAGTCTTGTCAAGTGTTTCCTCCAACGATCACTTAGAATTAACACGCTCTTAGGGCTGGAGGGATAGCACAGCAGGTAGGGCAATTGCCTTGCACACAGCCGACCTGGACTTACTCCCTGGCATCCTATGGTCCCTGAGCCTGACAAGAATGATTCCTGAGTGCATCAATCCCTGAGCATCGCTGAGTTTGGCCCACTTCCCCACTCAAAAAACTAAATAATAAGAACTAACATGTTCTTACCTTGGGAGAAGGGTCTTTTAATATCAGGGTCATCAAGGACACGGACTGGGGGCTTCCCAGCTCTGGCGTATCAGGAACAAAGGCTGACCAGTAGCCATAGAGGACTTTTTTTTCTATTGATTTTATTGTAGAAAGAAAACAAGTTAATGCTCCTTGGCGCACTCTGGCCTGGTAAGACCTTTAATATTCAAGAGAAAAAGAAAAGTCTTTCAATATTTAAGAAAAATAAAAGGCTTTTTTTAAAATGTAGGAGTACTGCTATTTATTCAGCCACTGATTAAAGAAAAGTCTTTTAATTTAAAATATAAACATAAAATGCTATTTATTCCAGCCAACTCAAATAATACATGGAGAAATTTAACATTCTGAATAAGGCCTAAGGATGCCAAAGAAATATATAAAAAATTATCTTTCAAAATACAATTAAAGTGGAGTTCGTGCCCAATTCAATCAGCTTAATCAATGGCTGAATAAATAGTAGTACTCCTACACTAAAAAAAATACAATTAAATCAGATTAAAGCCATTTATTTATAATAGGTCAATACAATCAACAGTTTAAAATAAGCATGAGGGTCAGAGGGAAATTACAGGGGTAAGGTGCTTGCCTTGCATACAGCTAACCCCAATTTAATCCCCACATCATGTATGGTTCCCCGAGCACTTGAGGACGGCGGGGGGAGGGGAGGGTGGGAAGGGGAGGTTAACTCCTAAGCACAAAGCTAGGAATAGCCCTTGAGCACCACTAGATATGGTGCAAGCTCCCCCTTTAAACAAATGAGAATAAGAGTGCAACATTTTGTTGTTGTTGTTTTTCCTTGCTTTTTAATAGTGGGTATAAGTGTAAAAATATTAAAATTACAAAAATTCACATAACCAAAATAATGAATATATAATTAATAAGACAGTGTGGCGATAATTTGAAGAAAGGAAAAGGCATTTAGAAAAGAAAAACCTAATAGGATATTAAAACAATGTGAAAGTTGCTACAAAGGCGATAAGGAGTGCAACATTTTTGATATAAGGAAACTATGTTAGTATAAAGTACCACAGAGTACCCATTCATCAAACAAATATATTGTGAGTATCTTAGTTATGTGCCAGGCATTATGCTTGTGGTGGCTGACATAAACTAAGCCCCTGCCTTGACAAGCCTATGATTAATGACAAGGAGAGAGATGCCTATAACATATCATGATCAACACAAAAGCAGGGCAAAGTCAAAGGGCCCCATTGGAAGGGTACGTAAGGCAAAACTGAGGGGTCAGAAAAGGCTTCCTGGAGGATCTGATTGCTGGGCCTGTAGCTGAAGATGAGGGGCTAACAGGGCAAGAGGACAGAGAAGGGGAGAAAGAGAGAGAGAATATCAAAAAATTCTAGACAGAGGACAATTCATGCAAAGACAGATCAAAAAGAACAAGTGAAGTTGCAGAGGATGCAAAGTAATACAGATTTTTTAAAGCAAAGTTCTAAGTCTGCATGTAACAGACTATAAGGCATAAAAATGTAAAATACAAAGTCCTACTACCTAATTTTACTTTGCATGCCTCCTTCTGCATCAGAGTAGTCCGACTCACTGCTGCTGACCCTCTTCCAGCCGGAGGAACTGGAGAATGAGGGGACTGGGACTTTTCCTGCAGCGACACTTGCAGCGACCACCACACTCTGAACACCCAGATGGGGGGCAGCTCCTCTTCCACCACTGGACTCTTCGTCCTCCTCCTCCCCTTCCTCCTCATCTCCATGCTGGCTTTTTTTGGGCTTTACTTTTGGCTTTTTCTTTTTATTCTGATATTAGAAACAAAACATATGTACAACAGCTCTTTCAAAATAGCTTTTAGTTGAATTATCTTCTCATTTGATAATTACAATGTCCCCAACATATAATTTGCAGAGAGAAGAGAGAAAAAAAGAAAAAAACAAGTGGTAGTGGCCCAAGTGGCAGTGGCCTTTATTTAATACTCCGGGGTGTTGGGTGCTGAGCTGAGTACTTAACACACAGCTTAAGGCAATGTAAGGAACAAGTTGAGAAATATGTGGGACATAAAACTTGTGTCCTAGGTTTAATCCCAATCCTAGTGACCCTGGGAAAAAATCATTTAACCTCTCGGACCTTCACCATCTATAACTCTAAGGCAACCACACCACCTACCTCACACAGCTGTGAACCATTCTGTCTTCTCAATAAGGTTTTCACAAGACAGTTAAAAGTCTACTGAAAGTTACTTGATGGACTAAATTTTCTTAGTTCTCCCAGATAAGATACTAAGCAAATACCACTACAGATGCTTAAGGGAAAATGTTAATCCATCACACACAATGCCTCTGGGGCTTACAGATGTAAATATTAAAAGCCAGTTTCTTTCTCTCATCCTCCTTCCTTTTTTCTGACAGTCAAATGACTTTGGAGCATGTGCCCTCCTCCATGTGCTCAAAGTTCCTGACCTAAGCAAGAAAAGTTCCCACTACCACTAACTTCTGTCTCCAGACTCATACCCTTTTACCTGTTGTCATAATCCTGTTTCTAAAATGCAAATCTGAGGACACCACTCCCCAATATAAGATTTTTCAATAACTATATGCCACTGATAAAAACATAAACTCCTCAGGACACCTTAGTATTAGTATGTGACTCTTGTGATCTGGTCTTGTGATCTGGTGCCAGGAGCACCAGCAGGCATGATCCACCCCCACCCCCTATAAAAGTATAAAAAGCTCTGATATTTTCCGCTGTTGACTCATTTCAATTTACTAAGCTAACAACTTTAAAGAGAATCAAACCGTAGTAAATCATAGAAAACAAATAGCAGTGATGAAGAACAATCCACAACTTAAATCTAAAAAGATGAAAGTACCAGGACTGGTCGAGAAGCATCGGATTCTGGCTGTTGGGGTTTGGCAGGGGGTCGCCCGTCATACTGAGGAAGTGGAGTCGGGTATAATACTGTGGGCATCTCTATGTTCAGTCCAGGGAGTCCATGAAACATGGATTTCTGGTAATGACATTGAGGAAACACACAAACACAACATAAATGACACAGAACTGCCATTCATCATGTTCCAGGTCACTCTCACAAAAATGTTTAGGAGCTTACTAGGGAAAAAAAAAGTGGGTCAGAAGATAGCCTGAACATACAGGGTTTAAAGCTCTTCATCTCATACAGCCTCCAACTCCAGCTAGATCTATTTGCTCACTGTTTTTCTTAACTTCTAGAATGTGTCCGAACATTTTTGGTAGGGAGCACATCCAGTAATGCTCAGTGTGTACTCTGGCTCTGCGCTCTCTCAGGGATCATTCCTGGTGGGGGCTGGGGGGAACATATGGGGTATTGGGGATCAAACCCAGGTAAGTTTCGTGCAAGACAAGTACTCTATCTGATATACTATTTCTCTGGCCCTATTATCTAAACATTTTATCCAGTTATCTTACCAAAATTATAAAGCAATCTTTTATTACTGTTAGTTTATCTGTGTCCATATTTAGGTATTTTTATCTACTTGGGTGGCACAGGGCAAGAATGAAAATTTCAGGGGCCAAAGTGATAGTACAGTGGTAAGTGTCAGCCTTGCAAGTAGCTGACCTGGGTTCAAACCCTGGCACCCATACAGACCCCCTATGTGTCACCAAGAGTAATTCCTGAGTGCAGAATCAGGAACAACCCTTGAGCATTACCACATGTGACCCCCCCCACCCACCCAAAAAAACCCCACAAACAAACAAGGTAAAAGGTAAAGGTAAAGGCTCTCCCGTTGATCGTCGATTTGCTCGAGCGGGCCCAGTAACGTCTCCATTGGAGACTTTGTTGTTACTGTGTCTGGCATATCGAATACTCTCGGTAGCTTGCCGGGCTCTCCGAGAGGGGCGGAGGAATCAAACTCGGGTCAGCCATGTTGGCCGCTTGTAAGGCGAACGCCCTACCGCTGTGCTATCGCTCCAGCCCAAACAAACAAATGAATGAAAATTTCAGTCATGATGAGTTGGCATGCAGGTTCCCAGCTGAGGACAGTCCCACTGAGGCTCAGAAACCTTGGGGTGGCAGCCTACGACACACATCCAGACAGGCCTGTCCCCTCCAGGGGGCAGAAATACCACGAGAATTTCTGGCAATTCTTTCAAGTTATTATCTCATTCCTACTTTGGACAAACTGGCAGGCTACCGAATGTAACCTGCCAACACAGCAGAGTCTGGCAAACTCCCCGTGGCGTACCCAATATGCCAAATACCAGTAACAATGATGGGTCTCATTCTCCTAACTCTGAAAGAACCTTGAATATGGCACTTTTTAAAAAATCTCAGGGCTAGGACGAAGGAGATGTTACCGGGGCCTGCTCGAGGCAATCGACGAATAACAGGATGGTCATGATCATGATCATGATCTTTCAAGTGAAGACAGGGTCAAGATTATTTAAAATTATTGCCTGCAGATCATACCTCAAACCCTCTTCTGTTTCTGAGTTAAGACACAGAGACCAAAGTTTAGAATTTTGATACATTTTACTAAATCAAGATTTATTTTCAGTTCCTAACTTCATATAATTTTCCTCTTCTCTTCCAATATGCTTTAAAGCTAGTCTTGGAGTGAGACATTAAGCAGTCTTTATGCTTGAGGTCTCAAGAGGAAACTAGGCATGGTGAAGAACTGACCGCGTCGATGGGCAACATCTCACCTTCAGCACAGCAAGCAGAGCTCCGAGTTCATCGGTCTGTGTCAGTTTCATCTTCCCACCATTCAAAAGTGACTGCACACCTTTTAACGCATTTTGTAACAACTAGGGCGGGGGGACGAGACAAGAGAAAAGACAGATGAAAGTTGGTTGTCCACAGATCAACTTTCTAGCACCAATTCAGATGGAGGAGAAAAAGTCCACAAATGATGAAAAAAATCCTTTAGATGGAGATGAGAGAAGCAAGCAGAAATGAAGATCTAGAGAGAACCGATTAACTACTACTAATTATCTTTCAGAAGTATAGAGTGCTCTTGTAGAATAAAAGTGTGATTACAGGAGGTGCTGGGGATCAAACCCAGGTCAGCAACATGTACAAATGGTAAGCAAGAAAAAAAGAGGAGCAAAGTGGTAAGAATGTATAGAAACAAAGGAACAGCCACAAAGGTCAGACTCTGGTGGGATCTACAATGCAGCAATCTCAGCAGCTCAGAGGCAAATGGATGGACCTGGGACCCCAACAGCCTCTAGAAGCTAATGCTAATCAATAGATTTTTTTTTTTGACTCGGTAATTTTATTTCCAGGATTCTGTCCTTATGGAATGTTTTCCACAAGGAAAGGATATATAGCCTTGCTTGAAGTCATGGAAACTGAGGGGGGAATCCAATTTCCATCAACTATGTCAATAATTCTTTAAGAAGCCAAAACTCTATCACATGTGAACTCAACAAAAACAACACTTCGCGAAGCAATGAAAAATTGTATTTTGGGGGGGGGGGGAGAGGGTGGGGTTTGGGGTAGTGCTCAGGGGCTACTCTACTCCCAGCTCTGTGTTTGGGAGTCACTTCAAGTGTTCAGGGGACTATGTGATGCTGGAGATCAAAACTAAGTCTCTGGCACACAAAGCATGTTCTCCAGCCCTTGAGGTATATCCCCAGCATGCACTTTAGATGCTTTACTTCATACACTCTTCTTGAAACACCTACAATGCAGTTATATCATTTGTCCCTTTCCTTGCTGAGGAACAGAGGCTTAATTAAAATAAGGGGCCGGAGCAATAGTACACAGGATAGGGCATTTGCTTTGTACATGGCTGATCCAGAATCAATCCTCAGTACCTCGCACTTTGTCCCAAGCCCACAGGAGTAATCCCTGAGCACAGAGCCAGGAGTAAGCCCTGAGCACAGCCAGGTTTGGTCCCAAAACAAACAAAAGAAGTGACTATAACAATGAGAAAGCATGAAGTACACCAATAGGTACTGAACAGGTATTCAAGTTTTTTGTCTTTTTTTTTAACTTCTTTTTTTGTGGTGCCGGAGACAATCATTTCCGGGCCTCATGCATGAAAGGCATGCACTTTACCAGTGAGTCACATTCCCGGTCTAAGAGATAGTAAGTTTTAAAAAGAGAAGTAGTAATATTTTTATTAAAGTCAGTAATAAAAAACATTTAATATGGTCTGACTTGAAATTTATAAATACAATCATTTATACAGAGGAAAAAAAAACTGGAGACATGTAGAACACTGCATTCCCTCTGGTTATGGCTGAGCAGGGAAGTATAAAGAACCTGCACCATCTCAGCTATGCAATCTTTGAAATATGTCACTCTGGATTCAAAGCATGTTAACAAATAATCATATCTGTATTAGATTAAAAAATAATAGCGTATTATTGAAATCTACTCCTTTCCCTTCTAAGAGACATTCACTAGTCTGAAATCATGTTCCTTTTGTAGTTTTGAGAAAAAAATATAAGGTTAATTCTCTTTAAAAACAAAGTTTACAAAACAAAAACAACAGCAATACAAACAACTTACTGTAAGTTGTTTTAAACTTTAAAACCAAGATATGAGCTTAATTTTCTTCAGTTATAAACATTTCACTAATGTCTTTATCGCTAGACAAAAAAGAACACAGCAACCAAATGAAACTCTTCAATGATATGTTCTGCTGTTGCTTTTAGACACATCTGTGACACATCTATAACAGTCACCGAATTAATGGTAAGTTCCACTTACCATGCAAAAGGTGATATCATCCGTATCAGGTGACTGAGGAGCTTGCAAAGTGGTCAAGAAAGCTCGGAAGCAGACACTCTGGTAGGGCTCCTCCAAATGCGGCTGTCCAGGCACACTAAACACACACAGAAAACCACTCAGATGCAGGTTCCTTTGAATACGGCTTACAGCAGAAGTTAAAAATAGCAACAATATAGAGGATGAAGAGAGAGTAGGGTGTTTGCCCTAGGGTTGGTCGAGCATTGCCAGGAGTAATCCCTGACACAGAGCCAGAAGTAAGCACTGAGGACTGCCAGGTGTGTCCTCAAAAACAAAACAAAAAAATTTTTAAACAATAATAAAAATAGCAATAATACAGACTAACAGAACTGGACTACAGCTTTAAGCTCAGTAAGCACCACTGAATACTGATGTGAGACAGACACAAACATTGATGTGAAGACGATGAAGGAAAGCAGAGAAGCCTGTGAAGAAGTATGAAGAAAGAGAAACCTTTCCTTAGTTTCCTTAAAACTGCCTTTCAGCTCTAAGAGGGAGATAAGGGGGACCCTTAGAATCACACAGCCGTTTGGCTGCATCCGGGGACAGTGGGCAACACCATGTGGGGCAGACAAGGTACCACACAAGCTCCACTCTGTGCCATTCACTGTGTGAATCCAGAACCAGACATCTGGGAGTGGGTCCATTTCCTTAGAGGAAATTAGCCTTGATAGCTAAATCTCACCAAAGTTTCCAGTCTTATCAATATGTTTTTCTAAAAGACATGTTAAAATTTATACAAAGAGTAAACAAAACCTTGACATCCTGCATGTAGTATCACTTTTACTTAATATGAAGAACAAGGTCCGGGTCTATTTTCCTCTTTCACTTATTTATAAACTTCCTTTATAATCAACATTCACTTAATCACTTAACTTCCCGTTAGTCGTCGATTTGCTCGAGCGGGCGCCAGTAATGTCTCCATTTGTCCCTGTTGCATGCTAGTGTAGCCCAATGGCATCTGTTCGCTTTGGGAACATGAAGAGCCTCAAACCGATCGTTCATGATCTTGACGAAGAAGTCTGACCATCTGGTAGGCGGGTGGCCACACGGTCTTTTGACATCCCGTGGAATCCAGTCAGTAACAGCTCTAGTCCAGCGGTCGTCTTTAAATCTCATTATGTGACCAGCCCATCTGATTTTTGACACCTTGGCAAATGAGACAGCGTCCCTGATTCTTGATCGTCGACGGATGTTGGAACTCTGGATTTTTTCTCTCATTTGAGTGAAACATGATATTCCAAGCATAGCTCTTTCTATTCTTCTTTGGGAGACGTTCTCATCCTGTTTGCATAGGGCCCAGGTCTCTGAGGCATATGTTAATGCAGGAAGAACAGTGGAATCAAAGAGATGTGCCCGGAGCCAGAGGTTCTTCGTCCTCTTAGCTATTTCTTCGACGTTCTTGAAGGCGTTCCAAGCCGCTCTCTTCCTCCTGCGCAGCTCGGGTGCCAGGTCATTTGTCATGTTGACTTCTCAACCTAGGTACACATAGCTGTTGCATTCGGAGATGGTCGTTCCGTTGAGAGCGAATGGGGCATCAGGAACGAGGCTGTTTCTCATGAACACTGTCTTCGTAAGATTCAGCTGTAGTCCTACCTTTCCACACTCACGGTCAAAGTCGGCCAGCATTTGTGCCGCTTGGCTGATGTTTGGTGTTATTAAAACAATATCATCAGCAAAGTGGAGGTGGTGTAATTGCTGACCATCTATCTTCACTCCCATTCCTTCCCATTCCAGTCGTCGCATGATGTTCTCGAGGGTGGCACTGAAGAGTTTCGGTGAAATGGTATCACCCTGCCAAACCCCTCTCTTGACATCACGTTTCACTATGCTTGGAATATCATGTATCACGTTTCACTCAAATGACATCAGTTCTTGGTAGAATGGTGAGATCCTGGTAGTGAATCTGCAATACAGCTCACAGAGGATCTTGATGTATTGGGCTTGAATGCCCTGATTGGCTAGGGCTTCAATGACTGCTTCCATCTCAACAGAATCAAAGGCCTTCTTTAAATCAATGAACGTTAAACAGAGCGGCATCTTGATCTCCCGAGAAACCTCAATGAGTTTGGTTATTGTGTGGATATGGTCGATGGTGCTGAATCCTTTGTGGAACCCGGCTTGCTCGCATGGTTGTCCTTCATCTAGTGTTCTGCCAATCCTATTTAGGATGACTCGAGTGAACAACTTGTAGATGACAGACAATAGGCAGATAGGGCGATAGTTGCCAATGTCATGGATGTCTCCCTTCTTGAACAGTAGTACGGTCCTGCTGGTTTTCCACTGGGACGGAAACTTGCATTCAGACAGGTAGCGAGGGAAGAGCCGAGCCAGTGTATTGATGAGTATTGATGGCAGGTTCTTCAGGTGTTCAGGTCTGACCTTGTCTGGGCCGGGTGCTGTTTGTTTCTTTACCGACGAAATGGCATGTCGGATTTCGGAAGGGAGAACGTTGGGAACGACATATCCATCCTGTGGAATTTGGTATGTCGGCAAGTGGACATGGCTATCGAAGAGATTTGAGTAGAAGTCATGGATAATCTTCTCCATTGCCGTTCTGGAGGATGTGATGGATCCATCAGGACGTCGGAGGGCAGTCATCTTGGTCTTGTAGTTGGCAAAGGACAGGCGGGCGTAACGAATACTTTTCCCAGCTTCTGCCGCATCTACCAGTACTTCTGCTCTTCTCTCTTTGAGGTCTTCCTTGATCGCATCTCTGCACTGCTTTGCGAGCTCGGACGTTAGCTTGCGGTTGCCTGAGGCATGCGCCAAACCACGCTGGCGAATTAGCTCAAGAGTTTTCGAAGACAGGCGTTTTTAAATTGTGGCTATCTCTCTCTTGGCGTTCCTCACACATTCATGGAGGTGCTGAACCAGTCGATTGTATTCCTCGTCAATGTTGTCAACAATGGCATCTTCCCATGTTGCCGCAATAGTGCCAAAGAGTTCCCAATTGGTGGTCGTTCTGGGAGTTCTCTTTTTGAACTTTGCAGCCCTTTCTCCCCGCTCTATGAAGTAGAATTTTGCACAAAGGAGTCGGTGGTCCTATCCCGTTCGAAATTTTGGGACAAAAGCGACATCGGTCAGGCAAAACCGTCGATTGAATATGGTGTGGTCTGTTTCATTGTGGAATCGTCCACCGGGAGACTCCCATGTCCAACGTTTAGATTCTGCCTTCTGGAACTGAGTTACCATGGATGGTCTTGGTCAACATGATGAACTCAGACAGTCTCTCACCCTGTTCGTTCCATTCTAGGCCATGGGTCCCGATGTGAAGTTCTTCAGCTGATCTTCGCTGTCTACGCACCAACATCTCATTATGATGAAAGAGAAATCGAGAAGTTCTACATGGAGCTGGAGAAGTTCTATAAAGAAGACCACACCTTCTACAAGATCATCGTGGGAGATTTTAATGCCAAGATAGGACTGAGAAGATCAGCTGAATCAACATTACAATAAATAAAAAGTGAATCATACAAGATGATATTACTACTTCTACTATTATTAAGATGATTATTTGGTTTTGGGGCAATAACCGGCAGTGCTCTGAGCTTACTTTTGTTTCTGTGGTCAGAGATCACTCTTGGCAATGCTCGGGGGAACCTTATATGGTGCTGTGGATCAAACCTGGGTCAATCATATACAAGGTCAAGTAAGTGCCCTACTCACTATACTATTGCTCTGGACAAAAGAGGACCTTAACTGCAAAAACTAGGAACATTGCAAAGGTGGTTCATTTTATTAAGTTGGCTCTGACACCAGATAGATTGAACCACCTTCAAAGGACTCCCGGAGGCCCTAGCTCAGCGCCACAGGGAAGCTATAAACATACCTGAGACATAAGTTTGCCATACAGTGCACTGCTGCTCTCCTGACTTCAGGGTCAGACTGAGTCAAGTCACTCATCTTCACCAACAGCCCCGTTTTGCCTAGCAAGTCTGGGAGATACTAAAAAGAAGTCAATGTTAATCAAAGAGAAGCTACCAGGAAATTATTACTCTTTAGACAAATTTCTTTCTTTCTTTCTTTCTTTCTTTCTTTCTTTCTTTCTTTCTTTCTTTCTTTCTTTTAACCAAAGGGTAGATAAGCTTGAAAAGACAAGCTGCCAGGTAAATATTTCAGAGACATGCAAAGGCACACCAGAGAGATGGAAGATCACCATTCCCAGCCTCAGAGGACACTACAGTCCTTTAGTCTTGACTGCATAAAGGGCAACAATGATAATAATGAAGAGCTATGCACTTTATAAATACGATCTCCTTTTTAAATTTTATTTTATTTTTATAAAGTAATTCACAATATTTGATTCATTTAATAATCAAACACCAGTGCCACCACCATTACACCTCCCTACCACCATATTTTGGATGTTTCCATCCCAAACTCTAACCACTGCCCCAAAGCAAAACCGAAATAATTTATTTTGTATTGTTTGTTATGAATAAACTGCTGAAAATACTTCAAAAAACTTTCCTTAGAGGAAAGTGTGTGAAGACTGTTGTATTTCACCCAGAGGCCATTAAGCCCTTCTATAACAGATTACTAACATGTTGTTAAGGGGCTTGAGCCTTATGATCCCACTTCCATCTCAGAAGAATACTTTGATTTGATCTGAACTTTTTTTCTTTTAGGGAACCATTTAATACTTGAGTAAAGTCAACTTTAGGGTTGCTTAAGGTTATACATCTACTTAGTGGCAGAACATAGCTTACCACAGGTCTATCGGCTCCAGAGCCTGGGTTCCTCCCTTGGAAAGAAAGAAAGAACATGGTTCAAACTACCTTTTGACATTTTGAGCCATTGCAGTACACCAGAGCTGCCAGGGCTTGCAGGATTTTCATGTGTGTCCAGGAACTACACTGGTGAAGAGCTGAAATAGTGTATGTCAGCAGGAAATCCAAGTTCTGCTCGTCAACAATCACCTAGTGATGGAGGGAAAAAATATACATACGTTCTAATTTCTAAGACACTACTTTTGTTCTTTTCAGATAGGTATGCTCCCCTGAATCAGCTGTATAAGGGAACGCATGTGCATGCATGCACGTGTGTGTGTGTGTGTGTGTGTGTGTGTGTGTGTGTGTGTCAAAAAGTTAGTTCTAAGCCTTGAAAGTCTGTCAAGGACAGGCAGTCTCCTAGCCCTAGGACCCTGCTCACCTCCCCTTCAGTCCCTCCAGAGTACACCTGGCAACATTTTCTTCAACATACCAATTAATATTACATGTGACATGTGCAGGCATGCATATATTACATGGTAAGACACATATTAATACATATTATAGATAATATGGTTCCAAATTACACAGACATTAAGACGGGATTCCCTTAATTTCTTTGGAGCAAGACAGGTGGGGTGAGGAGTTTTGGACCACACTCAGCAGGGCTCAGGGCTTGCTACTGACCCTGCGCTCAGGAATCACTCCTGGCAGCTGCAGGGAACCATATTGGGATGCCAGGATTGAATCCGGGCCAGCTGCATGCTAGGCAAGTGCCCTACCTGCTATACTATCTCTCCAGAAGCCCCTGAATTTCCTAATTCAATCAAGTTCCTTACATACACCAAATGCTTCACAAACAGCTAGCCAAGTATAATCTGCATATTGACAAGGCAGCATGGAAAGAAGCTAGAAAACCTCTTATTTGGAGCTGCCTCCCTTGAAGCTTGAAATGTGTGAGAGTTGTTTTGTTTTTAAATTACTGAGCTATTCTGGGTTTGCTTTTCTGTTTCTTAATGTCAAGAGCATCTAAATTCACACAATGATAACAGGTTAAGTTTTGTGCTCATAATTACATTTACATAAATTTCTAAACTGTTTCTAAAAAGACATTAGATATTAATAAGTGGGAAAATATTCTGGAGAGAGAGGAACCACAGAATAAATTGATATGAATTTACAGGGGTTTATTTACTACCTTGTCCCCATGTTACCTCTTATGCTTTATGAAGACCAAATTGCAAGCACAAAAACAGTTGTTTCAGGGAAGGGGCCAAACAGTTGTAGGTAGGGATTTCAGTTTATTTTACATATATTTTAGATAGTATTAAAGAGTTCAAATGTCCCTTCCCCCCCTTTTTTTGTTTTGGGGCACCATTGAGAGTGCTCAGGACTTACTGGCTCTGCACTCAAGGATCACTTCTGACAGTGTTCAGGGGACCATATGGGGTGCCATGATTGAATCCAGGTCACCTACTTGCTGTACTATTTCTCCATACTATGTTACTAAATGCTACTTTCTTAAGCCAAACAGTAATAGTTCCAAGGACCAAAATGCTAGAGTAGCACAAAAAAATTCTTTTTTGGTTCATTTTATTTTTGATATCATTTGTGTTAAGGCATTTCTCAAAAGGCTGGCCTACCATATCTAGCACAAATATAGTATTTCAAGGGTATTTCCTTATCCCCAAAGTTCATGGTCTGAATTCCACAGTTACATACATGATTACCTGTAATCTGTTAAGTAAGTGGTGGATAAGTAGAGATACTTTGCTGACAAGATGATTCTGGTTAAGAGGCACCAGTCGGCAAGCTTGAACAAGGAGAGTACTGACATCCTAACAACAACAACAAAAAAAAAAAAGTGAGGGAAAGGTGATATAACTGTGAGTCAAGTAAAAAACGACCACATCCACAGTCAAATAGGAAAAGTGTTCACACTCAAAATGTGGAAAGATGAAATTTGAGACAGAAAGAAGAAAAATAAAATGAGAAACCAAAGTGTTAAAACAGGGAAAGCATCAAATGTTCTGTTTGGCTACAGACTGATGTCTCCGTGTGAGCAGACACACGTAGAGAAAGGCTCTGAATATAAAAGCACACACCACAGCGATATTTGTAGGGAACCAGTTTTTCTATGCCCCTGAGAAAATGAGAAATGACACTTTCATGAATGTAACACTTACTTATAGAAATGTGAGGACGAAGAGAGAGAGAGACTTGATCAAGAGAGAATGCAGGCATCAGCAGAGGGGAAGAGGCCAAGAGGACGCATCTCAAGTTGAGATGTGGGCCAATCTCCAGGTGGAGTATTATTCAAGGGGCTTTGAGTTACTCTATGCCACATAGTACATCCTACTTTTCCAGCGGGGAACAAAAGTCCCCAAACCTCAAAGGGCTCACAGTTTAGTAAAAGAGATGGAAATATTCATAAGTGATTAAAATGAAATTAATGAGAAAATATGGTTAGAGAGGCCTTGTGTAAGTGCTGTTTTGTTTTGGGGCTACACCTGGCAATGTTTGAGGGACCACTCCTGGCTCCATGCTTGAAGACTGTTTGGTACTAGAGATGAAACCCAGGGATCTTGCATGAAAAGCATGCACTCTGTCCACTGAACCATCTTTTTGGCTTTCAAATTTGTAATGATTTGAAGGATAAGTAAAAATCTGCCAGATAGATAAGGTATCAAAAGATACTGTTAGCAAAGGGAACCCCAACCAAACTTGTTAGCGCTTGAGAAACTTTTAATGGGGTCCAAAAAAAAAAAAAAAAAAAAAAAAGAGCAGTAGAGCCCAAGAGACTAAAAAGGTACATACTTTGGATGCAAAAGTATCAAATTATATTAAAAAAGGGAAAGTCCGGACTTGTGTTGATGCGCGCCACCAAGCCTGCCCGGAGGGGGAAGGGCGTTGACCGGCCCGCCCGCTCCTCTCTGGAAAGAAAGATGGCGGCCGCACGGGAGCCTTGTGGAAAGCGGGTTTGAGCCGGGCTCGGGGAAGCGGCGGGGACCTCATGGGAAGGGGGGCTTTGTGGGCCGTCCCCCACGCCCCACCGAGGTCGCCGGCTGCCCCCCACGAGCGGCTCTCCGGCACGGCCACGGCCCCAGAGGCACAAGGACTTAGCACAGAGAACCAGCCGCTTGGAGCAGAAAAGCAAATGGACTTGTGTTGATGCGCGCCACCAAGCCTGCCCGGAGGGGGAAGGGCGTTGACCGGCCCGCCCGCTCCTCTCTGGAAAGAAAGATGGCGGCCGCACGGGAGCCTTGTGGAAAGCGGGTTTGGGCCGGGCTCGGGGAAGCGGCGGGGACCTCATGGGAAGGGGGGCTTTGTGGGCCGTCCCCCACGCCCCACCGAGGTCGCCGGCTGCCCCCCACGAGCGGCTCTCCGGCACGGCCACGACTCCAGGGCACAGAAATCAATCTCTTAACTAGCTAACTTTTAATAGAAATTCTTCCAGGGTCAATAAGTGGAATAGCAGAAATTCAAAACCGCGCGGCCGCGATAGCATTTTATTCTTAAACCAAGTTCTAGAAAGCAAATCATTTCACAACGCTGTTTCAGCATGTCTGATTGGGGGGGGGGGGGTCGTAAACTCTAAACAATAATTGTGCATCTTCTATCGAAATAAGCTATCTAGTCAAAGTAGATAGAGTATTAACTAGAACTCATCTGCCTCATAAGAATTGGGAGGGGTGGGAGGTGGGGGTCTATTGGGGTTCGGGGTTAAAAATGAGTATTGGTAAAGGGAAATGTGTTCGGTATCTACATGACTGAGACCTAAACCCGAAAGCTCTGTAACTTTTCCCACAGTGATTCAATAAATAAATAAATTAAAAAAAAAAAAAAAAAAAAAAAAAAAAGGGAAAGTCCATAACTACTTCCATAATTCCACTCTGTTCATTAGTAAACACTATCACATTGTGAATTCATCTATACGTTGTTTTCCCCTTGTTGCAACTGTGACTCTTTTATCTATTTGAGCCCCCTCCCTCCATAACGGTCTCCTTCTGCAAGACTATTGTCATCTGCTTTGACCATTAACTAGCATGTACTGAAGATCTAACCAAATCAGACTTTTATTTCTTCTAATCAGGTATCTTTTTCACTTTGTCAGCCAAGAATAGTTTAGCAAAGGGGCAGTTAGGAGGCACAATAGAAAGAATGGAAGACAGTAATGAGCTGCATATTATATGTTGATCAAGTAGGTCCTTATATTTCTATTTACTGTACTTTTCTATGTCTAGAAATGCCTAGACAAACATCTGCACTACAGTTCCCTTCAATACCTGGTCCAGTAACATGCCCCAGGAGTTGAGGGCCTTGAAACAACAAGGGTTCAATACACAGCCTAGGTGTACATCTAGATTTGTTGCTTCAAGACATTTGATGATGTTCACACAATGACAAAGTTGCCTAATCATGACTTTCTCAGAACAAAGCCCTGTCCTGCCATTAAACAGCACGGACTGTGGTTCAGGAAAGTCATATTGCCATAGGCCTGAGGCATGGCAAGTGGAGGAAGGGAGGAACTATTTCAAGAGAGAGATTCTTAAGAATCTAGATTGGGGCTAGGATTTGGGAGGGGGGAGAGGTGCAGGAACCAGTCTCTGTATCTGTGTGATTCGGGTGGGGTACAGACACTTGTCTGTTGGGGGACAGGGAGGGATGGGATGAGCCAGGAATGCAAGAGGAGATAATTAAAAAAAAAAAAAAACACTGTCCTCCCGTTGTTCATGGATTTGTTTGAGCGGGCCCAGGAACGTCTCCATTTTTTGAGACATGTTGTTACTGTGTTTGGCATATCGAATATGTCACGGGTAGCTTGCCAGGTTTTGCCATGCAGGCAAGATACTCTCGGTAGCTTGCTGGGCTCTCCAAGAGGGGCGAAGGAATCAAACCCAGCTCGGTCAGGCTGGCTGTGCGCAAGGCAAGCCCTCTACTGCGGTGCTATCACTCCAGTCCCGAAAGTGGAGATAAATGGAGATAAATACTCGTTGTTAGAAATTGTTGGGGGTATGGTGCCGCCAGCAGGTCAATCTGTACCTGTGAGGCGAGTGCATCAGCAACCTGATGGTGCCTTCAGACTTCCAGATACCCCAAAATTGCTGCTGTGCCTTTGGCCAGACCCCAAAAACTTGGGGAAAAGTTTACCAAGAAAGTAAATAGTCAAAAGTTAGGTATGTGGGAAACACACCCACAAACCACCTCCGGCTCAGCTATATAATCGGAGGCATGGCCTCCCTGTTCCTGATCGAACTGCTTAATGGCCATGATCCCAGAGACTCAGAAACAAATCTCAAAACCCAGCAGCTTTTGGCAGAAATGCGTCCAGTCCCTGCAGTAGGTTACTGGTACTGGGCCAACCCAGGTGGGAATAAGTTTCGTGCCTTGGCCTGCTCCCCCTGCCGGCCCGGTGGCCGCCATCCTCCAGAGGCCACTGGACAATCAGGTTTGGGCCCACAGTGGCGAGACACGCAGAGTCTCATGGGGTGGGGGTGGAGCCGGTCCTGTCCTCCTCACCCTAACGAGACCCCCAAGTCATCGCCCACGAATGGCCTTTCTGGCTCCTAATCAAGCTGCTTGACAGCCATGATCCCAGAGACTCAGAAGCAAATCTCGGAACACAGCAGATTTTGGCAGAAATTCCTCCAGATTTAAGTGTTAAAATTTTGGAATTTCAAAATCACGCAGCCACTACTGCAGCCACGCGACACCATATGTTATTCATAACCAGTAATAGAATACAAATTGTCTAGTGTTGCCTTTTCAGCAGATCTAAGTGTTGGGGTAAAATCCCAAATAATAATGGTGGGTCTGGTGTCAAAATATTGAATGTGATCAAAGTAGAGAGAGAGTAATGTGGAAATCATCTGCCCCACAGGTAGGGGGAGGGGGTGAGATGGGGGTATACTGGGGTTGTTGGGGGTGGAGAATGGGCACTGGTGAAGGTATGGGTGTTTCACTGTATGACCGAGATTTAGACCCAAAAACTTTGTAACTGCTCTCACGTTGATTCAATAAATAAGATTATAAAAAATGAAAAAAATAAAGTCAGGTGGTGTTCATGCACAATTCAATCAGCTAATCAGTGGCTGAATAAATAGCAGTACACCTACATTAAAAAAAAGAAGAAAAGAAATTGTTGAGTGTGAGGTACCTTTGAGCCTCAGAGAACAGTGGCATTTTTTTGGTTAAAAGTTTGGAGAATTGGGTAAGAGTGGTACTCAAAGGCTGATATAAGTGGTATAAGTAATATCACTCCAAAGAATGAAAGAAATTTGGGCCAATGGACACAGGGTTAAGGAACTTCTAGCTGCATATTCCCTTGCACATATGGTCCCTGGAGCAGGGACAGGAGTGACTCTGGAAGTGGAGCCACAGGAGTAACCCCTGGGGCACCACTGTGATCCCCAACAAGTGAAGGAAATTCAAAGCACGGAGTGAGGTGAGGCTGGCCTGGGGGGGGGGGGGGGGAGAGGAGAGAGAGAGAGAGAGAGAGAGAGAGAGAGAGAGAGAGAAGGGGTAGGGGGAGAGGGAGGAAATGCAGAAACTCTGTGACAGACGGGTTCTAACTCTAGAAATTAGAATTCTACCATTCTAATTCTACCACCTTCTATCAGTAAGAGACCACGCCAAGAAGTGTGGACCCAAGCACAGAGGAGTAACAACAGCACGTGGTCTGAGTACTACATACGAAGCAGCTGGGGCGGATTCATTGGGTGCAAGGTCAGCGCGAGGGCCGGCACCAAGGATGACGCTAGGGGCGTTATCAGAGTGGAAGTCATTAAGTTGGGTGTTTCCCAGAGGCGGGTGAGCCCATCACTGCGGGATCTTCCAGGAGAGAACAAGCCCGGGGCAAAGCGATGCGGCCGGGACTGCGAGACGCCGGGCGAGGCAGGTGGGCAGCTAGCCAAGGTCCCTCTGCGCGGAGCCGGGGTCTGCCGGCCGCTGCTTCCCGCGGCGCGCCGCCTACCTCCGGGGCCACGCCGCCGCCGCCCTCGTTGTAGTTCTCGGAGATGAGCTGGTCGAAGAGTAGGTGGATCTCGGTGCGGGCGGAGCTGCTGTCGTCCGGGCGCAGGGCGCAAAGTCGGGCCGACAGGCAGCGGAATCCATCGCCGGGTTTAGCGAGCAGCTCCTGCGATGTATCTCGGAGCGGCCCGCCTGGAAGCGCGCCTGCCACTTGCACAGCCGCCATCTTCCCGGGACACCGGGAAGTGCTTCCGGGGCACACGCAGTTCCGCCTTTTCCGGGACTCGGTGCTCCAATCCCGGAAATGTCGCGTTGGGATCCAAAATACACCCCTGGCGGGCGGGAGGACTGTCTGGGACCCCCCCTCCCCCCCAGGCCGTTTTTCAGATCCCAGCGCCTCCGTCAGAAATAAGCCCGGGGAGAGTCATTCACCTTCCACTTTGCCCCTAGTCTAAACTGAAAACTTGCTTTATGTCCCAGAAAGTCCGCTCCTGGGTGGGCAACAGTGTTTCAGATGTGGGCTAGGGCCCCTTTCTATAGATCTTACTTTTTTTGGCTTTGTTTACAGCTCCTGGTATTGTCCCAGACATAGAACTGCCAGTGACTGAAGATGACACATCACTGATGTAGGCAGGTAGATAGGGAAAGGCCCTTTGCAATGGAAGAAGAATTCTAGGAATGACCCAACTTGTGGATACAGAAAACAAAGGCCTGATAAGACCATCTGCAGACCCTCAGGATATAGGCCTCCCCATGAAATTCCTCTTTTTGGACCTCCCTGGTAACCTCCTTAGCAACGAACTTTTACCTGGAAAGAAGCCCCACGTGGGGGCAGGTTGGAGAAACCCTATAAAGGCCACCTGGAACAAAGGAAGGGCGCGCATATGCTGCCTGAGCCCATGTGCTGCTTGCGCCCACGTGGCCGAGCACCTGTGGTGCCCGAGCACATGTGTCGCCCGCATCTCCCCTCTTGAGATGTGTACTTTCATGCTTTCGTGTCTAACTTTACTCTCTCTCTCCCCCTCCACACCTAAAAATCCTCCAAATAAAATCTATTTACTTCACTGCTTGTCTACTCCTGAAATTCCTTTCTGCGAGGCGAGACAAGAACCCAGCAACCCTGGGTCCCGAGTGGCAGAGGTGGGTGGGGAGAAAGTGACTGTCTTTCTCCTCCCCGCTTCACATAAGTCACCTGTGGGGCCCACCGACATCATCACTACTAGGTTGTCCCTGCTACTGGCTGGCCACGTGATTAAAACCTGGTCAATGCGTGCAGAACCTCATTCAGGTACTCAAGTGACAGCTTGAACACTCCTGTTACCATCTCTTCCCTTTTCTCAAAGCAGATTCTTGTTTTTTTTTTTTTTTAATTAGTGAAACACCATGAGGTACAGTTGTAGATTTACAATTTTTTGTGCATGGGTTTTGATTATACAATGATCAAATACCCATCCCTCCACCAGTGCCCATTTTCCCCCACCATGGATCCCAGTATCCCATCCCACCTTGCCTCTGTGGCAGGGCATTTCCTTTTGTTCTCTCTCTCCTTTTGCGTATTGTGGTCTACAAAAGAGGCATTGAGTGGCAATCATGTTTAGTCCATAGTCTACTTCCAACATGCATCTCCCCTCCTGGGAGGATCCTCCAAACACCCTTTATTTGGTGCTCCCTTTTCTATCTGAGCTGCTCTTTCCCCTAGAATGCCCAGCTGGCCTCTAAGCTATGGAGTAATCCTCCTGGTACTGATCTCGGCTATTTTTGGGTATTAACCTCCTATTTTGTTACTTTATATCCCCCAGATGAATGCAATCTTTCTATTTCTATCCCTCTCTTTCTGACTCATTTTGCTTAGCATGATACTTTCCATGTAGTACCACTTGTATGTAAATTTCATGACTTCATCTTTTCTAACAGCTACATAGTACTCCATTGTGTATATGTACCAAAGTTTCTTTAACCAGTCATCTGTTCTTGGGCACTCAGGTTTTTTCCAGATTCTGGCTACTGTAAAGAGTGCTGCAATCAACAAACAAGTGCAGATATCACTTCGACTATACATTTTTGCCTCTCTGGGATATATTTCCAGGAGTCGTATTGCCAAAGCAGATTCTTATAAGAATCTTTGTTGATGTGGTGAGGCCACACCCCAAGGTGCTCAAGGTTTACTTCTGGCTCCTGGTAAAGCTCAGGATTAGGATAATGTGGTCTCGGGGATGGAAACTGGGTTGGCCCAGTGGGAAGCAAGCAAGCTACCCGCTTATGCTATTTCTGCAGCCCCTCTTCATTGAAACCTGAAACTCCTTGTTCAACATGAAAAAGAACTTGGGAGTTCAAACTAAATCATGTCAAATATGGATAACTTTGTTGAGAATGCTCAATCCACAATTACCTTAAAACTGGAAGGGCAAGAAACTGGAAAATGAGATGTCTGTCTTAAAAGCTATGAGCTATCTTAACTATAGTTGACATACTGCCATGCATTGACTTGTACTTTGGTAGTCATCCCCAAACTATGGAAGCTCTCAGTTTGACAAGAGCTCTCCCAAGAACAATCTTCCCACACATCTTTTCTCTTCTTAACTTTCAACGTATTGTAGCCTGACAGTGACTGAAGAATTTGAAGGATGCTAAGCAAGTTCATAGTCATTTCCTTTTATATATTCTGGATGAGGTGATTGAAGTCTTACTCTGGAATTCCACTTTCTCTTGTTTTGAAACCCTGTTAATACTTCTTTTTTTTTATCTTTTAAGAATCTAAATCATCCTAACTAAAGTGAACTTTACTCGGCAACTCACCTCCACCTTTAATTTACAACTTGTTTCTTTCCTTCAGAACATTTACCATAATCTGTAATCTATTTTAAGCTATGAATTGTTAGCTTTATGAAGGTACAGGTCCTGTCTGTATGGTTCACTATTGTGTTCCCAATGCTAGCACAGAACTTGGGTTTTGGCAGGCACTCCATAATACAGACTCACTACTTATGAATGAACTCACTACTTCTTTATTCAGAGTTCCCTATTTGTTTTCTGTTAGTTGATGTGAAAATCAAAAGTGATATTTGTAAAAATACTTTGTGGCTTCATAAATTTTAGTATCCAAGTGGGGGAACTATACTATTTTCCCAGTTTTACAATTAAGAAATGTTTAAATGCTCTAAACAAGAGACTTTTTTAAAGTTTAAGTGGTTTATAAGGACTACACAAACAGTTAAGTAAACTCACTGAATCTTAAACCTACACTTGTGAAGAAAAGAGACAAGAAAGTCTGTTTTTGCCTCCCACATTTTGCACTGGGGAAAAACAGATAGGAGCTGGTTTTCAGTATTGAGATTAACTAGGAAAGCCTAGGAAGGAGGATTTATGTCCTTCCTTTTCTTTCTTTTTCTTTTTTCTTTCTTGGTTTGTTTGTTTAGGGTTTTGGTCCATGTTCTGGGAAACATGCAAATGCCCGAGACTGAAGGAATGTGTTTGTTCCAGCATCTCCCCAGCCCAGAAGATTAGCTTTCAATCTTATTTTAGAATCTTAGGAAATTAGGACTAAGGACCATCAGCCCAAATATTTGTTAATAATAATAAGTATTGTCTACATTTGGTGAAAGTTTCCTATGTGCCAAGTGCTATTCTGAGTGCCTGAAATGGACCTCTTTTATCCTGTAGCTCTCTGAAGCATAAACTGTGACAAATGAGGAACCTGGAGCACAGGATGGTTAGGACACTGCTGGAAGCCACAGAGTTGATTTGCACCATGGGCCTGGGTTTGAAAGTCAGTCCAAGCTCCAAACCACCACCACACTATTTAGCACATAGGCTATAGAATTTGACATGGAATTATACTTTACACCCTGACACTTATCTACTAAATACTATGAGAAAATTACTTAATTTCTCTAAATCTTGGTGTCCTTGAGTCTAAACCAGTCATGATAATGAGAAAATCACAAAGGTATTTTTAGTGAAAATGATTTATTTTAAAAACAACTTTTTCCCTTCCCATCATTTGCAATTTCCAGCCAGAGTCCTCTGCCATTTTCATCTGTCTGTCTGGGCAAGTTTCTCAAATATTCACATCTCTGTATATCGGAACTCCAAGAAGGCAGCCTTAGTTTTGAGGGAGGGATTGGTCTTGAAGAAAAGTCTTCATCTAAGAAATGAACAACAACAATATAAGTCTTTTTGAAGCCTGCTATATAAGGGACCTGGAAGCGTAGGAAATGACTGGGGCAGTTCCTTTTTTGGGTTTTTTTTTTTTTGACGGGGCAGGTGAGGTGTTAATAAGTACTAACAATGAGCCAGCACAACCATCAGCACCCCAAGGATTGTGGATTGATTGGATGAATGATATGTTCCATAATAAGTAGGTTCTTTTTAAAAGTGTTTGTTGTTAATTTTTTTGTGTTTATTACAACTTCATTTTTCTAAAAATTGAATGATGGTAGCTTTTAATCATGCTTTTGTGGTTTTTTTTTAAGCTTATGGCAACTAAAATAAACTATCATGTGAGGTCCCTGAAATATGTTTTTACAGAGAAGGTTGTGTTTTCATAAGTCAAATATACAAATGTACATCAAAGTTTTAAATGGAGCATGTGTTTTGATCATAGATTCTACTAATGATTTGTTCCAAGGAAATTCATAAGAGCAATATACAGAATTAATCTTGAAAAGAACACGATGCTTCTGAATCACCGTCCCAGGTAGGCCTGTATGGACACAGAACTCGGAGGCCTTCTCAGAATGTGGGTGGGAAGATTCCTCTTTCTGTCTTGGATTCCCAGAAGCCCACATCCACATCTGATACTCTCCAGTATAGAAGTTGCCTAGCTTCACAACTAAACCTTATCCAAACCACCAAATTGTTTCAGCTTGATAACTCCTGGAGGTTAGGACAACTCCAAATTTCATAGTACTAACTGCCCAGTAGGAGCACAGTAAATGTGTTGGGAAAGTTGCACAGAAGCCCACTAAACTCAATGAACGAAAACAATAACACAGATGGCTCAAACAGCACCAACCAGCTCAGTAAATTCTCAGAAAATTACATTAGTAATACCATTGTGAGATATAACAATTATTACGAGTTGATTTTTTAATCTTTTTTTTTTTTACAATTCCACTTGCCTTTTTATTGTAACAAGCAATATGAAGTAAATTTGTTTGTGCCTGCTAAGGAGGTAGGCTTATGGGGTGGATGGGAAACTGGAGACATTGCTGGAGGGCAGATTACACTGGTGGTGGGATTGGTGTTACAACTTTGAATTCCTGAAACAACTGCATTATGAACAACACTGTAAATCACGGTGTTGTAATAAAAATTAAAATGTGCGAGTATACCAATTTAGTATTTGTCTATCCATAGTAACAAAAAAATAAGAAAAATATTAAATGTGTAATTAATAAATGTTGCTATGATTATTTACATTAAGATGAACTTCCATTAGGCTACTAAAGATAATTGTACATATGCATAAAAAATAATTAAAAGTTTTTAACATTTTATTTAAACTTCCATGATATGCAAGTTGTTCATAATACAGTTATTTCAGTCATTCAATGTAACAACATCAATTTCACCACCTGTGTGACCTTCCTTCTACCAATGTCCCCAGTTTGCAGGCACAAACAAATTTACTTCATATTGTTTGTGCAACAAAATTGCAAATGGAATTATCAGAAAATAGATAAATAAAATTCAATTTGTGATGATTGTTATATCTCACTATGGTGTTACTAAAGTCATAGTCTGAGAATTTACTGGGCTGGTTGGTGCTAGTTAACCCTTCTGTGTGATTACTTCTATCCATTGAGCTTGGTGGTTTTCTATGCATCTTTCCCATCCAATTTGCTCCTACTGGACTGTCAGAACTGTGAGATTTGGAGATTGGTGGTTTATACATTGGAGGATGTCTGTTGTGGGTTGGGGGCTGCGGGACCTTCTGGCAGAAAGGGGAATTTTCCCACCCCCATCTACAGAGTTATCAGCTAGAGAACAATCTACCTAGGATAATTCAGTGGCTTGACATCTTTTCAAGATTAGCTATATGCCAGAGGATGTTAAAATTGCTGGGCCTTCCAGCAGGGTGGGGAATCTCTTCACATAAGAACTAATATCAAAAATTATTCACTGACTATTTTTAAGTGAACTAATAAATCAAATTAGGCACAAAATTAAGTAATTTCTCTATACATATGACGTATGTATGCATGGTTTAAAATTAGCCAAAAACTATCAATCAAGAAGATGTCATCATGGGATAGGGATAATAGGTGATTTTTATCTGCTTTTTGCCCAAGAAGGAGTATTATTTCTCTCCAGGATATACTGGGTAATTAAGTTATTTTGAAGGTTTGGAAATCACTATCCTGAGAGAGATGCTTTTTCTAGTAAGGGTGGGTAAAGAGGGAGGGGCCGCAAAGATACAGGTTTCTGTCCCTCCTATTTCTGAAATGTCCCACCAAGGACAAGGACCTGAAGGGGCAGGGAGGGGGTCTCATGTCTTTACCTACCCTCAGGATGTAGAACAGATGTGGCCACACCCATTGCTGACACAGTGCTCACCGGAATCACAGTCCCAGTCACCTCTGCAGAGCTCCACACAGGCACCTGTCAGAACAGCCCGGCTGAAAACCACTTGCACAGCTAAGCCAGCAGCCACTAGGGAGGAGAGCCCTTGATTAAGGGACCAGTTCTATGTTCTCATTGTGGGAGAGAGAGCTTGAACCAGACCTGGCAGTACTTAGGGCTTACTCCTGACTCTGTTCTCTGGGATTACTCCTGGCCAGGTTTGGGGACTAAACTCAGGTCAGTCGTATTCAAGGCAAGTGCCTTACCACCTGTACTATCTCTCAAGATCTTTCAGTTTAGCACATACTTGGATTTATATTTGATTAGTTACAAAATAATATTCACTCATCTTAAGATAGCAAGCCCTGTTTTATTATTTTTTTTAAATTTTACACATTTCATATGTTTAAGAAGTTGGAGGAAAGATTTTAAAATTTTGTTGTTACTGTTTTGGGGTCACACCCAGTGATATTCAGGATTTATCCTTGGCTCTGCTCTACTGGCAATGTTCATGGGACCATTTGGGATGCTGGAGATCAAACCTAGGTTGGTCGCATACAAGGCAAGTGCCCTACTTTGCTGTACTGTCACACCTTTCTTAAAGTTTTTTTTGGGGAGGGGTCCAGAGAGATAGTACAGCAGGTAAGGAACTTGCGTTGCACATGACTGGCCTGGGTTTAATTCCCATTACTCCATATGGTTCTCCAAGTCCACCAGAAATAATCCCTAAATACAGAGCCAGGACTAAGCCCTGAGCACCACCAGGTGTGGCCCCAAAAATAAAAATTATTTTTTTGTAGATTAAGTCAGTGTGTATCAGTGGCTGCTAGTTGGCTCTCAGCAGCCCCACCCCAACCCCTGCCACCCAGAATATTTCAAGAGGAGCCACAGATGAAAATTGCATAAGTAGAGGGCCATGGCGGGAGACAGGGGTGGGGGAGAGGAGGGGGAGGGACATAGGAAGGAAACAAGGTGAGAAGGGAGCCAGAGTGGGAAAAAGGTTGAGAAACTGGTTTTGGTAACACAATGACAGCAGTGTTAACAATTATGGGTTTGATGCACAAAGTTATTACATCTTCATCACTACCCAGGTGCCCAAGACCCTCCTCCACCTCTATCTTTATGTCTGCTCTAGTCTACCTCCTCTCCTCCCCTCCTGTGCCCTTAACAGCTCGATCATCTCAGTTCTATAATCAAAAGACTCAAATACAAAGCCTGCTTTAAAGATAATGGTGATGTGTGTGTAGAGGAAAAGTGCTGGCAGTCTCTTAAATGTCCTTACTTGTCCCCTCTGCTGGAGACAGAGTGGAAAGAGGAGAGTGACATCTCCTCAGTGCCATTAAGGTGCCTTAAGATCTCCCGGGCAGTGAGCCCAGCCTGTTCGCTCCACGTTGAAGATGTGCCAGTGGGGCTCACAGAAATGGCACATCTACTAGCAGGTTCAGGAGTGTGGAAGAATCCCTTATGGTGGCCTGCACTGACCAGGAGATTGTAGAGCTTGAGAAGAAAGCAGTGTGATCGCATTCTGTGGCACAGGTCTTGAGAAAGAGCCAAAAGACTTCAAAGGGCTCAGAGCAAAGAAGACATGGATACCGTTAGATTCAACAGAAAATCAGAAAACAAGACCGGAGTGGTAGTACATCAGGTAGGGCCTTGCACATGTCTGACCCGGGTTTGATCCCTGAATCCTCTTTAGTCCTCCAAGTACTGTGAAGAGTGACTCCTGAGTACAAAACCAGGAGTATCCCTGAGCATAACCAGATAAACACTCCCCAATTTTTTCTTTTCAAAAATAAAGAAAATCTGAAATAGAGGTGGGTATCTGTAGAAGGCAGACTTCCTACAGTGGGTGGGGAATGTCATGAGAAGAGGGAAGAACTATTAGCAAAACTTCACAGGGAAATGGGCTGCAAGGTGGGTCTGAAGGTCATTGTACAAGTCTGAGATTCTCCTTAAAGCCCCTGTCTCTGACACCTCATTTGCCTCACTCCTCACCCTGAAATGCAAGTAATGAGGAGAATAACATAGGTGTGGCTGGATAAAAATGAGGAGTGGGGAAATAAAGAGAATGGTAGAACAGGAAGAGTAGGCAGGAAACATGCCCCAGAGGGTGGCTCCTGAAGACCACAGGAATTTGGATGCCGTTTGATATGTCAGGAGAGGGACACAATCGCTGTTTACTTTTAATGTTTATTCTGGTGAGAGAACATCCAAAGGAGCAGAATCCAACAAGCAAGTTTCAGGAAGGGGCAGGGAGAGTTGCTGACCCCAGCCCAGGGTAATCTATGTAGCAATATAGGGAAGATGCGAGGAAGGGACATCTGCAAGACACAGCTTCTGAAAACAGATGGTACTTGGCAATCAATTTGATAGAGGGGAAGGAGAGAAAAGGAGAGAGAGGAATAAGAGTTAAACCCTTTTCTTCAGGGAGAAGAACAAGAAAGAGCAGTGCTAATCCAGGAGATGCTAATCCAGGAGAGAAGAAAACGTGAAGAATGAAGCAGAGGCAGCATTGCTAAAAGACTTAGGGTACTGAGAAGGTTCAAGTGTAGGTTCAGGAACTGAAGCGATAGCACAGCGGGTAGGGCATTTGCCTTGCACACGACTGACCTGGGTTCGATTCCCAGCATCCCATATGGTCTCCTGAGCACCATCAGGAGTGATTTGTGCTTAACAAGATTAATATCTTCTCTCAGTGATCCAAGTTGCCTGTTGGGGTGAAGGGGGCATTGCCAGGTGGCCACTGAGATGGCAAGAGGGAAGAATGTAGAGAACAGGGGGAGGGTGACCAGCGGAGACCCTGGGCAAGGAGGGGGATGCACTGGAGACAGAGGATTCTGCCATGTGGGATCTGCAGGGTTTCTGTCTAGATCTTTCCCTCTGTCCTTTTGCCTCTCCAACCCCCATTCTACTCCCCACACATGGCTCCCCGATTCCCACTTTCTGGTTCCCTCCTGCAATAAAGAGCAAAGCTGTCTTCTGCCCCCATCCACTCACCCAGCAATTGCAAGGGTCTCACAGAAGCCTGCAGTTTCTGCACCTCAAAGCTGAGGGCAATGAGCGCCACGAGGAGAAGGAAAGCCCCCAACTTCATGTTGTTGCTGTTGGAAGCCTCTGGTCAAATCGCAGCCAGGCAGAGGACCACTGAAATTTGTGCCCTTCTCCCCACTGAGCTCTTATGTAAGCGAGGGGTGGACAAAGGGAACCCACATCCTGCCCAGAAACTGGCATTTCCGGAAAAACCACCCACCATGCCGTGGCAGACCCAGTAATGCCACCTTGTTACTCAAATAGTGTCTTAATGCCAATGTGACACCCTCCTTTGACCAACATCCATGTCCCAGAGTGAGGGTGAGTGGGGATGGGGGCAGGGTGGGCACTGACTTTCATTCATTAATTCATTTTCCGTGGGAAATTGTCCCCCTAATAAATACCCGAAGGCTGGGAGAGTTCCCTGGGTAAGTAGTTTAGGTCTTTTTAAATAAAGTAGGGTAGTAAACTTGTGCCCAGAAAGGAATAGATGACAGGCAGTAAATGTGAACCCACGAAAGGATGGAATAAAACAATCCAGAGTCTTTCAGATGGAGAGGGCAATTTAGGCAAAAATAGAATAGGAATTGTCATGATTTTTTACTTTAAGGGTGGCTGCTGACCGGCAGTGGGAAATATCCCAGCCTCTGCTCTCAACGTATACACTGAATTTTGATGTGCTTACTGTTGTTAAAGTCTACCAGCATAAACAATGGCTCACAAGTTAGAAACCAGGGCAAGGGAGCAATATTGTACTGTATAAGTGTCCTGTGAGCTCACTCCTGGCTGCCACGCAACCCCAAAGTTTGGACAGTGTTTGTCTGTCTCCTTAGAAGTTTGTTTGTCTCTGCGACTGACCTCCGGTGGACAGAGGTCAAAAGGTGCCAATCCAATTGGCTTCATTGTAGTAAATTGCCACCATTTTCTTTAATTTTAAAAAATTTTATTTTCATAAGGTTGTTCACATTAATTGATTATATTCAATATTTCAACACAAATCCCACCACCTTTCCACCTTTCCACCATTTCCCCACCACCATTCAGGCCTGCCTGATGGGGCAGATGGTAGACAATTTATTTTCTATTGTTAATTATGAATATCATGGGAGGTTCTGGAATTCTAAAATTATAAAACTTGGGGTCCAGAGACATCTGTGTAGGGAGCTAATCAATTTTAAGATTCACTTGCAAGTCTCTGGGTCAAGGCCATTGATGCGCTGAGATGGCGCCTGGAGGCAGTTTGTGGGCATGACAGTCAGGATCCCAAGTGGGTGGGGAGAGGGGAAAGGACAGCCTGTCTCCGCTGTCACCATGTGGCCTGGAATCTTAGTCCTGGAATCTGTGTACCTGGGTTTTGTGGGTTTTTTTTTTCCTGAAAGTTGGTGTCCACCGGGGGCTCATCAGGAATGGGCAGAGCTGGGACACTGGCTCCATCTGAGGTGCCCCCGTGGAATTGGTTCGGTTCAGGGTTCAGAAAGATTTCTGGTGAGCTACTGTCTTCCGGGATTCACTGCCGTGTCTCTGCATCAAGAAAAACGGTTGATGCGCTGAGATGGCCTCCGGAGGCAGATCGTGGACATGACAGCCAGGATCCCACTGCCATGGCAGGTCTCCACTGCTGCCATGTTTGCCAACATTTTCAACAAAGCATCAAATGTCTTCTCTGTGCCAAATTGGTCCTGGGCATGAGAATTATGTTCCTATGGAAATGATCACCTGGAGTCTGGGTGCAGGCCAATAGGATACAGTCTGGCCTTTTGTATCTCCCCTTCCTGCTGGGTCCAGTACATGTGGCAACTGAAGGCTGGGAGAGGTGGTGGAGTTCCCGCGGGTCACTGACCTGCAAATGCTCCAGAGGTGACCTTTGTTGCCCAGTGTGGTCTCAGTAGTTCTCCTGCTGGGCACCTAGGTGGGCAAAGTGACCTTGGCCTGTGTGAGCTCTGTGCTTCTTTTGGAATGGAGTTCCCCTTGGTCTTGTCTTCCTTCATCTCGAACCACCCAGCACTCCAGTAGGCTGAGCTCTCCCAGAGGGTCTTAACCTGCAGCAGGGAATGCCCCCGCTCTGGTCTATCTCTTGTCCTGTGGCATGGAGATTGGAAGGAGACTGGATTGCAGTAACAAAGCCGAGAGGGAGCAGAAGTTCATTTCTCCCATTCTTGTGGACACGATGTTATGGGGAGAAGATTTTCTAAGACATCCCAAGAAGTGTTGAACAAGCTTGTTTGCTGAATTAAAGAGCCTTTATTGACCTGCAGGGACTGCCAAGCCTGAGAGCAAGGGTCTCAGAGCAACGAATAGCCCCAAACCTGAGTCCAGGCAAGGTTTTAAACATTTCTTATCACATTCTGCTTGGCTACATCAATCAACTTTCTCATTAGCTAAAGCAAGCAAGCATCATTTCAGTACAAAAGTCAGATGCTTGCAATTAGCCTTGAACTGTTAAAAAAATTTTCTACTTGGCAGCTTAAAAGAGCAATATATGATAGCGACTCAGTCTGAACTGGGGTTTTCTCTGTACATCCTGTCCTTGCATCCTTAGAGTGTCTTGTCCTGCACCCCTGCTCTCTTCTTAGCAGCGACCTGCTTTTCTGGGTCTCCTTATCACAGCATCTAAACTCCATGCGTGGATGCCCACTTCGATCAAAGGGAGGCTCGTTCATCCCAAACTGTGGCTTTGGTTCCCATTGGGAATAGCACGTGACTCTTGTGTTTACTAAAGCCATTGGAGGGTGTCTGAGTGAGCCTCAGGTAGTGATTGCACAGTTGACACAGGTGAGGAGCCTGGATGAATTTGTGCTTTGCCTCTGCCACCACTCCTTGCAGGTTGTGTGTCCCAGGGACAGTTCTTTTCCCTTTGGGAGCCTCCCCTACTCTGTTACCAAGTGGGCATTTTAATTCCCAGCCCTTAGAGCTGTTGGGAGAACTGACTGGACATGGATACACATGTGCCCTCTCTCAGTAGTTCTTTCAGAAAGGGCGGCTGTGAGCCCTCTTCACCTCTGGGCTCGGGGATTGTGTCATACTCCCTGGAGCAATTACATATAGCTCTGGTGACAGTGTGTAGTTTTCAGAAGAAACAGCTTCAAGAAGAGAAGAACAAGTGATGAAGAGCAGGGCAATGGTTTCAAGGGGACTGTCCCCACCCAGGGATACCTGCTCTCAATGAGTCTTTGCTCCACCAGAGACCTATCAGAAGCACTGAATCCTGAGGACCCCACTGTTCCCCATATCAGCTCTGTGGATCCCTGGTCCAGGATTGAAGCAGGAGGCCCAGTGGAGGCCTCTCAGGATCAGGCCTCCATGCCCCAATGAGACCTCTGTGTTGGAGCAGCTAATGTTGTAGCAAGAATCTCTGCTCAGAAGCCAGGAGTCTGCCTGGGTTCCATCCTGACTTCACACAGAGCCTGTGGCTCTAAGAACAAGTCCTCAACCGCCGAGGGCCCTAGGAGCTGAGTCTAATAATACCTATCATAGTGTTGGCCACTTCTGTCAGAACACAGCCAAATGCCTGGCAGAGAGAAAACACGAAAGTTTGCTCGATTTAGGATTAGGAGTGAACCAGGCATATGTGGGTGAAAGTTTAGCCAAATCTGAGATTTTGGGTTGGGCTTGAGGCTCAAGGTTCCAAGGTCCAAGGAGGAAGAGAGTCAGGGCTCAGGATTCCTGCTCCTGGCTCCTGACTTGAGGTTAGCATGACCCAGCATGAGCTTCTCTTGTGGGGTGTTGCTGTCAGGTGAAAAAAGCTCATCCCTACCCCGGGGCTCTGCTGACCATTCAGAAAAGAGGAAGGAGAACTCAGGTCAAGGCCCCACCCATGGAACTAATGTACAGACATGGGCTTCTGGATGTTCCTCTCTGGGTTAGTTGCCAGTCTCGCCATGTAGGGGTTTTGCACAAATTAAGTGATAGAAGAGGCAGAATCTTATGGCACATGTTTCAGAGATGAGAGTCTGAGCTGCTTCTTCCTATTTTGCTTCTTTCCATTGTCCTGGGTGATGTAAAGTAAATTAGCTGCATTGAGGGAAAAGAGAACAGAAAGATGGCGTGGCCCCTGAGATTTCCCATGCTCTTGCAACTTCCTAGAGCCGCTGCCAGGACAACCATTGGCTTTCTGAGTATTGACATTTATTCAGAGACATTTCCTCCATCAGCTGTGTTTCATCCTCACACAACACAGGCTCAGAGAGCATTCTCTGAATTGCCTTAAGGTGGAGCATTAAGGGAAGAAAAAAATCTAACGCATTTCCCAAGTGTCGGGGTCACATTTGGAAATAAAATCCTAATCCCATAGGACCTTGCCACACACAGTATTTCCTAGAAGTTCATTCTTCTCCCCAGAGTTCATTTTTAAATTAAATGCCAGTGTCAGGGCTAAGTATGCCCCATTCATTAGCTCATTTAGTCTTCACCATACACTGGGGGTTAGGTGTTCTACATTTGACAAGTGAGGAATGTGAGGTCCCGTACCTGGCCCTAAACTTTACCTTAAGGAACCACCGGTGTGGGATTCTCAGGCTCCTGATCTGGCGACCCTTCCTGCTCCTGGCTTCTGCCCAGAGTGGATTTGGGATAAACAGGTTTAGCCACTCACTGGTTTTGTGACAAGCAATCTGGGGTTACTAAAGCCCAAGAAGTCTCAGTTTTTTCTTCTTCTCCTCCTTCTTATCCTTATTATTATTATTATTTTTTAGTTTGGGGGCCACACCCAGCAGTGATCAGGGCTTACTCCTGCACTCAGGAATCACTCCTAGAGTAACTCAGGGAACCATATGTGTGCCTGGGACTGAATTCGGCTTGATCAATTGCAAGGCAATCACTTTAGCCTCTGTATTATCTCTATGTCCCCTGTTCTTTTCTTTATAATAAGAAAGAATGCAAAACCTGATGAGAAGGGTCATCACTGAGGCAATAGTCAGGGACATGCCAGGCCAGGGCCTGTGTGTGGAGAGTTTCCTCAGAGGAAGCTCCTGTAATTTGCCTTTTCAACAATGGTATTACTACAATTTCAAAAGAAGTTCACCAGTTTACCAAGCTTCGAAGTTTATAAAATGCTTTCTCAAGGTCAAAACT